GAGAAACTCTTGAAGAGGTGAAAAAGTTTACGTACCTGGATAGCATCAATGATGTTTCTTGAATAGATAAACCATAGTTGAAGTTTTATATGGCTAAGACTTCAGCAAATTTAACAATTGAATTCATGAGTCAATTGAAGCTAGAATATCATGGAAATTACTACAATCTCCATAAAACCTCTCTCTGACTATAATCATCATATGTTCACTAGTGACTGTCTCCAAGAGTTATTTCTTAGAGTTCTAGTGAGAAACAGTGACCAATGGAGTTCAACCAGGTCTGTTGTGAGATATCAACTCACTGAAGACAATGGTGGATGTTGGCGCAATTTCATGGATTGGTTGAAGTTGGACATTAACACCGTTGAATGCCGGCTCAGTAGTCTAAAGGTGAAGTGTTCGCTCGCGAGACCTATATGTCCTGCGTTCCAATCTCTCAGAGGGTGAAGGAGGGGCTGCGCACTACTGAGAAGTCCCATATCGGGACGAAACGGCCGTCCAGTTATTCCGGGTTTTCTGTGGTGGTCTAGCCTCGATTGACTCATGATTTCAACTACTGAAATTTCTAAAAAATCTCCACAAAACCCCTTTCTGATTACTTCAGCAAATATTAGTATTTGCCCTGGAACATATATACAGTAAAAGAAAACCTAGTGGGGATAGCAGACGCATTATTTGATATAAAATTACAGTGGAAACCATACATCAAATACTTCATTTGCACATCTTCCATCAGTTGTCTCTTACAAACTTGATCATTCCTTCATTCCTGTTGTTATTATAATTACTCTCAGTCTACATTCCTGTTTCTTTCAATTTCATGTCAACCTGCTGTTGCCAGGCTTTATATATATATATTTTTTTTTTTTCTCAATTATTCGGACGGATGTTTTGCCAGCTTAACATACAACTCACGATTACTTTACATAGATATATGTAAATTCGTTAACATGATAGAATAATAACGCAACTGTTTAAATGTTTGATGATGTACTGACCTGGGGTTTTTCTCCATAATGACAAAACGACCTTCACTTTAAAGTACATTCTACTGAAAATCAGTCTGAGCTTTTATTTCTGGATTGGATAAAGTTAAACACCGCTGGATGTCGGTTCGGTGACCTAGGGGTTAAGCTTTCGCGCGTGAGACCTGAAGTCATTCATTTGAGTCTCGCGTGCAGGATCATAGATGTGCACTGCTTATGAGTCCCACACTAGGACGAAACGGTCGCCTAGAGCCTTCAGGTATCCCATGATGTCTATCGGGACTCAGTATCTAAGTGGATAACGTGATAGCGTTCGAAGCGAACAGTACTGGGTTCGAGTCCCAGATTGAACACTGAGATTCAGGTGGATCCAGTTGACGAGTCCTAAAAAGGATGAAATACGCATCAAACTGGATTCCACTGCTAGCCACTATCCATCTATGCTTATAAAGCTTGTGACTTAAGGCAATATCGAGGCAGTCCATATAGTATGCACATATACCAACAAGAAACTGATCAACTCCAGACCTAAACAACAATTGGAAGTTACTAGCGAATAGTTGAGGCAGATCAATTTGTTTTTATTTCGTGATTTGTGATCAGTTAAAAATAACTGGGTTAGTTATTAAATAGAAATCGAAAACTAATATAAGGTCAACTATACAATATATGAAAGTTGTTTTTTTTTAACATAAATCCAAAGACCGATTAGGTTACACGTTTAGATTGAGTGATTTGACATGAGTAGTGTTAATTAAAGTTGTGTGAAAAAAAAGGTGAAATTGAACTATTATAATGATTTATATTGATTGAGATTTCATCCATAAGCTAAAATATCAGTTATTTGATGCTTGAATCAAACGTACGATCCTAACTAAAGCTTGTGAAGAACAAACTAGAAAAAACCAAGCTGGTTTCTGACCTGGACGTGGTTATATAGACCAGATATTCCCAATAGGTTAGGTTCTAGAACATAGACGCACATTCAGACGCTCCACAATAGTAGTATTTCTCGACCTTAACGCGGTATTTGACTCTGTTGGTCGTGAGGTTCTATAGCAGTGTTTGTCACTGAAAGGAGTACCAAAGAAATACATTAAACTTATAAAGGCTATCTGCTCGAACACAAATGATCAAGTGAGAACTTATGGTGAACTGTCATCAGGATTGATTACATCAAGTGGTGTTCATCAGGTCTGTCCACTCTCTCCATTCTTGTTTAACTTTGTCGCTGACGTGCTTTTAGAGATAACACTTCCCTCATCTAAATTTCCAGGAGTTGAACTTCTACCGGGAGATTCACCTTTTGACTTATAATATACCGATGACAGTTCTATTTGGTGAAGAAGTTAACAAAATCCAGAGTCTTCTGACCACTCTAAGCAATAATCCAAGCATGTTCGGGATGCGATTCTCCCACTCGAAATGCAAAATGTTACTTCAGAATTGAATTGAATCGGTACCTAAACTAATGATAGGAAGTGAAATATTAGAACGTTCCGACTGCTTCACTTATCTTGGGAATTTCATCAACATTTGTGGTCTGGTATGTGACGAAATCTCAGTACGGATAAAGAAGACTAGCTTTTGACAACTTGCGTCATTTGTGGTGTAAGCGAGATATCAGTCTATAAACCAAAGGACGGGTTTACTGCACAGCAGTTCGTTCCGTCCTGTTTTACGGTAGTGAAACATGGCCAGTAAGAGTATAGGATATTCGTAGGTTACTAGTATTCGATCATAGGTGTGTTTGGAGCATTGCTCATTTATTGTGAGACCACCGAGTAATTAATGCAGTTGTTAGGAAACGGATGAGAAATCAATTGATGACGTAGTGAAACTTCATCAGTTGAGATGGCTTGGAGACGTGTTACGTATGCCCAACGACCGACTGCCTCGATGTGCGATGTTTTGTTGTATAGGAGTAGATTGGAAAAAAGATAGGGGTGGCCAGACCAAATCATGGCACAAGTTCATGAAGTCATTGACAAGTAGACTGAGTCATATTGGTAGGTTGAGACCCGCCAGACGATAACAACCGATGGTTAGAGACCTTGAATGACATGGCTCAAAATCGTTTGCAATAGTGCGATGCATCCACTCTTGGTGTTCTCCAAAATTCTAATCTTCTAAATTCTTCATGTTCCTTATTTATTCTCTTTCCAAATTGATTTCACTGGATCATACTCCATGAATAACATCTTAAAATCCTGATCTTCCCGATGACTGCTTATACTTTTACTACCTCTACCACTAAGGGATTAGAATCGACAATTGTATCTCTGTGGTATGGCAACTCAAACTGATGTACGAACGTACGAAGTTCTGAGTTTTTGCTGTCAACTATTGTTTGACAGTAATGAAATATAGGTCCACCAATTCTGTTCCAAGTCATACTTTTCACGTGAAAGCTAGTAATATAAATTGTCAGTCTAGACTGAAGCAGGCGAAAGAGGGTCTGAACTTAGCGTCGTAGTAGAATATGAGGTACTTTAGTCTTAATGTCAGTGCCCTTTAATAAAGTAGTACAGGGAAGATTGTTGTTCATCATCTTCATACTTCAACTACTTTTGCATCTCATCGGTGACTAAGACAGGGTAGTTGGACATGCAATTGTTAGGGTACTTTACACGAACGGAAATAATTTTATTCTACTTACTCAAAATCAATTCTGGACAAGTATTTTACACCTAGTAGGTAGAAGCACATAATCTCGGGTTTCTTAGATGTTGAATGATTATATCTCCATAGGCTTTAGCAACGACGTTAGTTAGCTTGGAAATCTTATTGGCTTACACAATGGAGGATTTTTTCTTTCTTTGTGCCACACTCTAGTGGTATTACAGTTGGCCAGACTGAAGAGGGTTCGAACCTGTTACTCAGTGATTGAGTCGAGTCTCTCAACTACCACTGAATAGAATATCACTATCCACTACATATTCCGTATGACTTGTGTATCACACTTCCCGACTTATATCTTGGATACCTAATATTACCATTAATACTGTTACTACCTCGACCACTCTGGGATTTGTCCTGACAATTTTATCTCACTCTAGCAATTGGATATGGCAACTTAAATCGATGTACGAATGTACCAGGTTTTGCGTTACATTTCACCGACTTATTAAAGTCATTACATTCAATTAATATTACTACCAGTAAGATAACTAAAAACAAATCAAGGTAAAATCGGATGTAGATGTACTGTGCAAACGCAGAACGCCAGCTTTGAAATCTTAAAATTGGTCTTACTCCACACTATTCGTTCCTTTTAACAAGATAGTATCATATAAATTTCCTACATCGATTGACTATAAATCTATACAAATTACATTACCTGAGAAAACCCTTAAAACATAAGTGTTTATTAAATCCTTGAAAGACGGTCCGAAATTCAAGTCTACTGAACTTATTTATTTAAGCACATAAACATTAGTACAAGAAGGCACCAAATATATATGCGCCAGATCAATCTCATTTGATTTGTGTGAGGGTTGTGATACTACCCGGGTGCCCAAACCGAACCACGTGGTTTTCTTAGAGGGCCACACCCGGAGACTTCGACCTAAAGGTTTAATCCACAAGGTAGTGGAGCAACGTCAGGAGATGCAGTCTCATGGTAGCTGGTGACTAACGATTAGTTCATATGCCATTTATTCCCTCAGGATACTGGAGCACATGTGTACCATTGGTTTGGAATGAGGGCTGTCCAACTCCCCTAGGCGGACTTTCCGTATCCACCAACACGGTTCAAGTCCCCACCAAACATTCGCTTTTCGTCTTCTCGATTTCGTAAACAACATCGATGGTACGAGAAGGCAGTGAGTAGGACTTCCGTGGTAGTGGTTGTATTCACGTGGCCGTGTACTTCGAGAAAGAGAGCGAACTTTCCCCACTCTCGGCCGCACCAGTGCACTAAACAAAATAAACCTAATCAGAATATCACTTATGTGTACGTATTACGTATAATATCGCTTGGTAAAAGCCAAATGCTCATAAGAACATGTAATACAAAGCGCAAAAGAGATATATATTTATTTACTTGTTTTCAGGTTCATTGAAAACAAAAGAAAATTAATAGTAATAATGGCTCGTAAACGGAATAATAGAGAATATCTGAATTACAAATGTTTATAAGCGACATCTATATAGTTTATTAAAGTTTATATCCTCAAATATCCATTTCAAATGGTGCTTCTTCGCCTGAAATAATTAGAAACAATCGTGATAAGTTAATTATACTGTAAAACAGACAAAGGAAATTAAATTTGTGCACATGGGCTTCAGGATCCTGAAGGAAAAATGGTGTATGGACCAACTGTTGGTGACCGGCTACCATGGGATTGCATCTCCTGACATTGCTCCACTGCCATGTGGATTATACCGTTAGGTCGAAGGCTCCGGGTGTGGCCCCCTAGGAAAACCACCTGCTTCAGTCTGGGCACCCGAGTAGTATCACAGTACACACACAAATCAAGTGACTTATGTGGCGCATATGTATTCGGTGCCCCTTTATACTAACATTTATGTGTTCAAATAAATTAATTAATATATACTAGGAAATAACATATTATGAATAATTATAAGAGTGAAATATGCTTTTCAAAAACAGAACGTGTATATTTATCTGTATCATTACCAAGGTTTGATTTGACAATTTCGAATAAATTGAGCATTGGGTAGATTGTTATAAATAAATAATATATTTGTGTACATTTATCGTTTTTAGTTATGCTAAATGATGGCAAGGTTGGACAAGAATTATGAAGTGAAAGTATCATATCGTTTGCAAACTTCCACTGATTTAAGCAGTTTACAAATGTTTCTTGTGGTCACTTAAGATATGCCACGATATGCAACGCTAACTATTTGGGTAAGTGATTAAAATGCTATGGAGGGCGAAACTAACTAATAACATTATTCCATACACCCAATTACATTTATTTCGAACCTTGTTGGAAAGTGGGAACTTTCGTGATGGCGTTCGCAAGTTATTCGTTAGTGCATGGAACACTTGAAAATAAATAGTAAGTCTAGCAATGTTCCGAACATCACTACTCTCTCTATCCGATGTCCAAAATTATAAACATACTATCGTTAGTTGAACATTCTGCTAAAATGGAGACGTCATCGAGACATCTCCAAAATCATTTGATTTATCAAATACACTTGGTTCATTTTCATTTGTGGCAATTTAAACATCGATTTCCAAGATCGATGACGACAAAGTAAAATACTAAACTACAGATAGAAGACCTATTTGTATGAATAAGGAAAAGCCTAAGTAAGCAGCAATCACCAAATAATATCGCTAACTCCAAAGGAATTCTACTTGTTTCATTTTCTTCAATTTTGAAGCAATATTACGGTGCAACGCAAACTACAGAGGTCAGGTGCATGAGACCAATAAGTCATCTCTACATCACAAATCTGAACATAAATGGTATTAATGAATGATATAGATTAACTATTTATTGGGTGATGATTTTAAAAGCACTCTGCAGTGTTGATATTAATGCTACACAATCAAATTTGAAAGACCCAGTATTAATAAAATCATAAGTAGACAACAGATGTTACCTTTGCTGAGTCTGTTATGATCATTTGATGTTGATTCAGGCACATTGAGAGAATCTTTCACCTTGTGACCATTACACGGATGGACTGTCTTGTCATTATTTAAGCTGGGAGGAGTTATTTCTGGTAAGTATATCATGTCAGATGGTGGGGTTCGAGCAACTGGTGAGTTGCGACAGTTGAGAATAAAATCGCGTTCATATATTATACGAGTGCCACCCGGAGTCGTACTGAACAAAGTTCCACCTGGAGTTGTACTATATAGCAATATAAATGAGAAATAGTTAAACGGATATGAAGTAAAACAGATATCTTAACGTGAGTATATAGCCTCGACTACTGAATTGTTAACTGACTAAATTTGGACAATAATCTTAGCAGATAAAGTTACTTGACAAAGTTCATGATCAATTTAAAAAATAAACGCAAAAGCTGAATGTTTATTGATTCTACGTACGATCATGTACTGAAACCCGATTTAGACTTCAGAAATACACACAGAAACACTTAAAGCAAAAAAACATTGGCTTCAGTTACCAGATCACATCATAACAGAAACGTTAAATTATCAAAACGAATACTAGAATAGTGGGAATCGTATCAGTGATAGTAGAAACGATTAGCGATAGACAATTTGGTTTAAGAATTATTTCACAAAATAAAATATATGAAAATAATTTTGAGTTTGAGGACACATGTTTGACATACATGCAGGCAGTCAATTGTGACGCAGAACCAATATATGTATACTAGTCCAAGTTCCGACACCACATCAGCACAGTGAGAATAAGTAGTAACTGTATTATTGATAGCAGAAAAAATTAAGCAGGCAGGACAAACATTGTTTTCACTCAGTATTATCAGTACTAATTGCATGCATGTGATAGTTTATTTGTAATACGAGAAACTAAAGACAGCTAAACAACGGTCACCTAACTACCGAACCTCATGAACAGCTATAATCCATTTAAGTAGATTATTACTTACACAACTACGTATTTTGACTGATATTTTTGTTCAGCTGCTGAAAACTAGGTGAATGTTCCGAAAAAAGGGCGAATCCCACGCTTACATAATAAGATGGAAATCACAGACTCGTTTAGTGAGTTAATGGCATACAATTTTATTAGCATACACAGAAGGTAACTTTGACCTTGATGCAAACCTTTCAAGTGTTTAGATAGTGAACGTACGCTGCAATTGTCACTTCATACTAAAACTTGGTAGATTAAAAACTATCCACAAACATATGGCCTCGAATGGAAATCCCGACTGTCTGGGGTATAAAAGTAGTTTTTTTATGAAAATGTTAAGGGATGGGGATTAGGAATCTACTTGAATGTATTGGGATGATGATACAGGAAACAGTAACATCCTCAATCTGGTAGAAGAGACAAAAGAGGTTACTTCGAATCAATACGTTTGCTATGACCGTACTTTAAAACAGCTCCACGTTCGAGGTAGTAAAATTAAATAACTGATAGATTTAAAGTTGGTAGCTTGCAAGAAAATGCGTGCATATCACACATTAACATTGAACACATATAAGAGATACATTCTATTAACTCACTGCCAAATCAGAGAATCGGAAAAATCAACATAGCAAATTAAACCAATCTACATCCGAAAGCTTTTGTATGAAGACAAGGTGAATCAGAAAGTCCTAAAGCGTCGAAGCCATCAGGGAATAACGTTACTTCCTATATACTCAGATTATACTCCTTGGTCAGAAAAATGGGATGACCTAAAGAACATTCAATGAGCGTCATTATATATGATGCTTGAATCTCCTTTACATTATTACTCAGCGTTAAACGACAATAAAACTCTGCATAATAATGATAAATCGAATAACTAATGGAATGATTTAATGAAAAAATAATTACCCGTGGTTAGATGGTATTTGCGATAAGTCCTTAACAGTAACTTTCTTCACTGGGATTGGTTCCGTTTGTTGACGTTCCATGCCACCAATTAACGTGTTAATTTGTTCATAGCTCCGTAAACATCAAGGACATTGTGCGTTGAATATCTAATATCTTTTTAATGAATCGTAGTGAACCATTTAACTTGTTTGTATTCAATTCTCAGTATCAACGCGACTTTTCAAGTCTTTGATACTTTTATGTATGCGGGCTGTCTATTAAACTGTATTAATACTGATGAATTGGACACTTATTTAGAGGTTTCAGATTCAGATTTATGTACTGAGGACAAAAGGCCAACGCATGTGTTCGTCCCCTTCTAGTAAGCTTCTATTAGTTTTTGTTCTTTAGTTTAACAGCACAGATTAATAATTGGTTGATACTTCTATCAACTTCTAGCTCCTCGTGTGTTTGATACAGGTATATTTGTTCATCCTCATATTATGTATACCAGTTTATTCTGGTCAGGTTAGAAAAAAAGAAGAAAGTACACATGAGCTCAAAACTCAGCCCTTAGTATTTTATACAGAAAGTTAGAGCACATGCTTATTTGCGATAAGACAGAGTAAAGAGGTCTAATCCTCGATCCTCCCTGTATACGGCTAGCCCCGATATTCTGAAATTTCATTGATTGTTGTTTTGAATATAACAAGTGTATTCTCTTTGAAAAGATTCGGTTTACATAATCAGCAGCTATCACGTCAAAGAGTAGTCAACCGGCCATTTGTAACGAGGAAGAGTATAGAGACATGAGGTAAATGTTTCGTGCCGTTAGGCAACCATCTTTCAATTAATAGACAAGTAATTGATAAGTTTTTATTTAGCTAGCAGAACATTTACAGCAGATCGGTAGGTTATCTTTTCAAACACGCAAAGTTATTCGAAATCAATATCGGATAATTGGGAAATATAATGCCTATACGAAATAAGGAAGGGAAAGAATATTTGAGCCCTATTGTTTTGAGACATACTTAGTTGTTGGATTTCAGATCTTAACTAATAAACATAAGTTTTCATTAATGTAAAAAATGGCTAAGAATTGAAACCAAACAGATGAACTCATCGAGGGATAAAACTTGCGATGAAATAGATAATTGATGCCTGAACACCGATTACCACGACGTGCAATGCTAACGGGAGTTAGAGATGGTTGCAAGAGAATTAGGGGCGGCCAAACCAAAACGTGGCATCAGTGCTTGAAGACACTAACCTCTAGTCTGAGCCATGTTGGTAGATGCAGACTACTTGGTTGGGGTCCGCGTGACATTCTTAACCAATGGTTGGAGACTCTTGGCGACATAGATCAAAATCGGTCAAAATGGCGTCGGTGCATACACTCCCTGTCTTCCCTTAAATTAAGGGATTAAAATCGCTTCATATCTTTCTTTCTACGAACTAATTCTATTTTCCGGTACTGTATTCTTATATGCAATCCTTCTCCTATATGTTACCACCTATAACCTAACCACTCCTATGAATCCGGTGTTCATCTTGCTCTGCTAATGTGGTATGGCAACCTGAACCGATGAATATATTTGCCTGGTCCTACGTTGTAGCTGGCTGAATGACTGAGATAACTGATAGAGTATATAGGAACGACGGTAAAGTGGTGATGATAAGAATCAAAGTAGGGTAGGATTTACTCAGTTTGTATCAATGCACCTCCTCGAAAACGACTAACCTTGTGTACTTGCTTGCCGTAATAGAAGAGTTAGGGATGGCCGGCGAACACCTTTTTAAATGAAAACAATTAAATTGCACAGTATGGGACAGATTACAACAAGTGAATGCCATGACACCGGAGTAAAATTGTATGAGTAGTACGAAGTCTATAGAAATGTCTACTGTTAAATGCACAAATAGCAACCACATTACTACTAGTTATCTTCTATAATCCATATCACTAACTGTTAAAACTACAGATGATAGCGAGTTAAGCTAATCAAACGCGAACAACCAGAATGGATGGATGAATGCCACAACTCGAACAGCAAAACATGCAAATCTAATGGGAGATGAACATCGAGCATCCTTCGTATGCGGTGGTTCACAAACCCGTAGGTAACTACCAAAATGATTAGAACTAGTGCAGTCAAATGGTTAGACTACTTCTCACTGAACACCACTGAAGACATATAACCCTAACGAACAAGCAAGAAGTGAGATTAAGGAAATCAATCAGTTTATGCAAACTCAACACCAAGATTTCAAATAATGCAATGGCCAACTATTTACTGAATTCAATGTGATTGTAGGTGTCATGTATCTAGATTAATCGCTTAGCGTGATGTTCCCACACTCGCTAAGCCAAGGCAAACTACCACAAATTTGGAAGCTGGCTCACATCACAACAATTTTCAAGAGAGGTCGATGCAAAGAACATTCAAACTACTGACCGGTGGCCCTTCTCTAGATACCGTCAAAAATTATGGTGTCCCTGATATGCGACGATACACACGACTATTATTATCATCACTAAACCCCTTTTCACCCCGACAGAATGGTTTTACGAAGTCTCACTCTTGTATAACAAACCTGCTGACTGCGGTGGACAGGTGAACAAGCATCTTTGATCTCAAAGGGAAAGTTGCCGTCATTTACCAGGATTTCTCAAAAGTTTTTGATAGGGTTAACCATATATGTCTTACCAATAAGCTCAAACGATTGAGTATCAGAACACCTCCAATTGATTGGCTCATTTCATATCTGAAAAATTGACATTTTAGGGTCTGAGTTAACTTCACTTTATCTCCGGCTATGGAATGTCCTAGTGGGGTCCTCCAGGACTCAGTACTAGGACCTTTTCTCTTCTTGATTTATAAAAATGATCTTTCATAACGAGTATCGTCAGACTTATTACTTTTTGCTGATGACGTGGAACTTTGGAGAGAGATACGAAACCAAGACGATATACAGGCACTTCAAGAGGATCTGACTCGACTTCAAAGTTGGGCAGACGACAACGGACTTACATTTAACACTTCAAAGTGTTAAGTAGTCCATCTGCGACTTGTCGCGGTCTACAGTTACAACTTAAGAAACTCTTCTCTAGAAATATCCAAAGTTAAAAGAGATTTACAAGTGCTGGTATCCTAATATTTGAAATTGTTGAGTAAGTTTCGACAAGAAAAAAGATGATTAAATAGGCCATCATCGAAAGTTCTTTGGCCCATAATCTCTCTCATTCATCGTAACATGTCCGTCGCAGAGCCGTGTTGCAGGTCGATGTTATTGAAGGGTTAGCCTAATCTTTGTCTGTCGGTTAGGTCTCCGAGTTAAGGAATATAACATTTCAGCGTTTCGTAAGGTTCAGAAACATCACTAGTAAACATACTAGGTGTTACCTTCCTGTTGAATTCGTGCGGTAGTGCCTTGATTGCTGCGAGGAATTGTGCACGTGTGTCGATCACGCCGTGCTCAGAGAAGTCGGCTTCTGCGTAGCAAAACTAGGCTTCGATGTTGTCTGGCCAGAAGAGCATCAGTTGAAACGAAGATGGGGACAGTCTTAAGTTTATATACTTTGGGTGTCTGTTCAGTCATGATGAAATATGAAGTACGATAATGGACGAGAGAAAATGTATATATCCAAAAAGCACGAAAAACATCACAATGTTTTAAAAAATTAAGATGAAGCAATAATATATAGAATCTCAAAATGGAACAGACTCACAGTTTACGATTTGGTTTACCAGATCACGTTAGGCTCACCAATGAAGATGGCACAGGTATTCATTGTTTGACAACGCTTTAACCAGTAACACCTTCTAATATGAAGCGTATTATAATGTTTGAATTATAGTACGAACTAAGAGTCCCAGAAATAACGCAATTGAATCAAGAACTACGGCACAACCACAAACGAATGTATTGTATTCGGAATTAAAAATGGAGCACTCAACAAGTACAAAAATATCATTAGTTCATTCAAATACCACGCGTAACCACCAAGAGAAACAAGAAGACAGAATCGAGGAGATAGGAAGATATATTTTATGTGATACCAATATATCGAGAATCGTCTGATCTAATCTGGCTAGCGATTGCAGTAGATGTTGAACACGGCGTTCCCACACGTGATCTGGTGCGGATACATGACTGAGCGCCTCCAGCTAGGTGAGTCCATTAAAACATGTGGTCAGAATCCAATGTCAAAAACTTACAGAGCTATTTATTTTGGGAATTTATTTACCGATACAAATTCTCACGCTATGAAAGAAATGCTTTTTGAGCTAACCTTGAAATGATAACATTGAAGCGCATTTTTGGTCAGTTTGACGGAAGAACTTTACAAAGTTTTATTCGTCTCCATTTAGAATACGAAAACATAGTATTTCATTCTTCACTCCAAGATAGGGACACTCTGGAGCGTATTCAACGGCGAACCACGAAATCAGCTCAGGGACTCAAATTCAAGCCTTATGAGGAGCGCCTCTAATCACTTAACATTTACCCATTGGAGTACAGGTGTCTTAGAGGCGACCTTCTAATGGCTTACAGCATCCTTGACACTTCTAGACATTTCCTTAAACACCTAATTTAGTTTAGCTCCAGCACAAACCTTAGGAGTAACACCCAGAAACCAGGGACACAAAACAGCAGAAATGACTGTAAACACAACTTCTACTCCTTAAGAGTTGTCAAATGCTGGAATTCGCTGCCAATTGAGTTTGTCCTAGCGACTTCCTAGGAGTTCTTTAAGAAGTGACTTGGCCTATTCTCAAGGGCTAAGGATGTCTTATTATGAATTACCAATTTCTTTTTCCTATATTATCGTCAATATACCTAGGTTCCTGCCTGCAGGTATTGGTGATCCACTGCCACTAGACACGGAAGCATGTTAAGCGAAAGCTTCTTCTATTCCGTCCGCAACCATTTGAACCATTTGAATCCCATTGATCTCTGTAAAGTACCAGTTATTCCTTCATATGAAGACTGGATCATAAAGAAAAAAGTGAACGATGTTAGTTAGTCAATAAGACATTCAGCACTAGAGATTTTGGTCCTTACCGGACCAACCAATGAAACCGGCTTTAGCTCACACGCTCTCAGGCGCTAATTATAAACATTTCGGGTTTTCAGTATCTTAGTCTTTTTTCACCCATATTTTCACTGATATGAAATCAATCAAAAAAACGTAATTATGGTCTAGTTAGTGACCAGAGTAAAATATAGACATTAAGGTCAAATATGCCTGAAATGTCTTGCAAACATGCGAACCAATTCTTCACACAGAAGACAAATGAAATTGCATACAAAAATATAATTAACCATCTTGCTTTCCCAAAGTCCAAGCGTGGATTCACTCATAAGGTATGTCCACTGAGACGCGGATTGTCTTTTGAGAAATTTAGAGATTTTACAGATCATTCATCTAGCGTATTGTTTTTCCATCGTTACATAGGCTACGAATCATGTACTATTTGTTTGAGATGCTTTCAATTAGTCACCACACTAAAGAATTACATCCTAGCTTCACTCTAGAGAATTTATTGTTTGTGTGATGCCCTCCGTTTATGTTCGAATATTTTTTAATTGAAGCTACTAGATAACAAAATCGTAGTCGTTTGACTTAGACTTTCGTTACTAAACTACAAAGATTGGTATTCATTAAGGCTATTTAGGAACGAACTGGTTTTCTGACTTGCAGATGCATTATAAGATACAAATTTTTATTTCGTAAGTCCCGGTAAATACCATGTTTTACAGTAATGTACACTTTCTGTACTAGTAGTATCTTGGTTTTGAAATATGTTAAATATGTGGTAATGTAAACAACTTGTCAAATAACAACTTAGTCGTCCTAACACGTCATTAAGTTTTAGCTAGATTTACTCGGTTGTTACATATAAGTTAATTCGGTTTTAAGAAGTCTACACGACTTTAAGCAAATAAAAGTTTATAGTTATAACTGTTGGTTGTTTCCTCTACTATTCTACTCATTCTTATTTACCATTTTGATTGTTAGGGAATTAGTGCAATAGACCACTAAAAATACAATCCGGTCAATTTACATACAACACAAATTTCTTTCAACTATGTTTTGCCATTTATGATGCATATAATAGAGAGCTAAAACACTACCACCGCTGAATTATATTCTTAGTCACGTCTCAAGCCACTAGGTTGAATGATCTTTAGGTCTTTGATATCTATAAACGGAATTTGATGGTTCATAGCTTTCTCTAAGAATAAGGCCATAAACTGTCATGCAACTATTAAGTCAATCTCGAACAGTACTACTTTATCTGGTTTAATATATAGATGTGAAACTAATGCAAGGTGAATATCCGCCAGTTCATACTCATCAGTTCTTAATGATGAGAATTAAATATGTTACAAATACAATGACAATGAATTGGTTGTCCAATTAATTGAAATGTACTAAAATATAAATTGAGAGACCGTCGATTTATAATTGACTTTCATGCTAAAATTCATCTTTTGAGTTCAAACTTTTACGCAATATCTTAGTTGTACACTATATTTAAAGATTTCTAGTTTTTCTTAAGGGAACATATGTTTGCCAATCCCTGATTTCCGAACACGCATATATTTGTGTGTAATATTTCTTTCAAAAAACTTATTTAAACGTCACAAACTTCCTAAACATATTCTGTCTTCTGTAACTTGTAAATGATATACACATATTGTGTTTGGAATTCCTAAATAATTGAACAAAGATCTAAACATTTCAGTTCCAGTTACTTAAATTATATATTAAGTAGCAGTCAAAAAACTTTTAAGATACTACAGAAATTATCATCATTTTTTTGTTATTAATCAGGCTTCATTATGTTGCACTTTATGCAAAACACGAGGTGAAGATTTCGACGTCTGCAATAAAGATTTGATAAGACCTAGATGTTTACTCGCGTGTGCTCATTGTATTCATTTCGCTTGTTGGGATTATCGTCATATATATTTACACAGAGAAGACCATCCTGATCATTATCTTTGTAAGTCTACCGTGTTTTATATGTAATTGTTGTTAACTGTAAATTTTTTTAGTTATCATGAGTAATTATAAAAATTTCAGATTGCATTATTTGATGGAAACTGTTCATTAGTCTGTAATCTGAAGATTTTTTATTACATTACATCAGATTTTTTCAAAAATACAGACTTTATGATATTGTATAATGTCATGTGGCAGAATCATACTTCGGCTAAGAATCGACTAAATGATAAATGTTTTGACTTATTTAAATGTACTTCATTTACTTTGATCGTTTGTTAACTTATAGTTAAAGATTTCTAGCGAGGAATGATTATTAAACGAATTAAAATGAACTATTTCTTGCTTAGCAAATTAGTTATAGAACTACATTTGATTTTAATCACTCACACACTCTCTGTATGTTTGTTTATTGTTCATGGAAAACTAATTAATCAGATCCTTTTTTGTTATATTCATAAAGCTGTTTGTACGGAACGTGGTGAATTATTTTGTACTGGTTGTGGTGATTTTGTTTACCATTCTGTGGCTGAAAGTTTTCATCAGTCTGCATGTCGCACTTATTTAGCTCAATTTGGTGAGTCTCATTCTTCACTAAATATTACCATGATATTTTGTTTTATTTATTTAAACACATGAACATTAGTGCAAGAAGGCACCAAATAGATATGCGCCACATAAATCATTCGATTTGTGTAAGGGATGGGATACTACCTGGGTGCCCAAACCGAAACAGGTGGGTCTCATCCACAAGGCAGTGGAGCAACGTCAGGAGATGCATTCCAATTGTAGCTGGCAACCAACGATTAGTTCATACACCATTTGTTCCTTTAAGATCCTGGAGCCAGCCTATTTGCACCATTGGTTTGGGATGAGGGTTTTCCAACTCCCCTAGGTGAACCCTCTGTGTTCACGAACCGGGTTATAGCATCGGACATTCGCTTTTCGCCCTCTCTATTTCGTAAACAAGTTATGCCGCAAAAAGGCAGTGAGTAGGACTTCCCTGTCAGTGGTTGTATGCACGTGGCCATGTGAGAGCATTTGGAGAGCGGGAGCTGACTCTCCTCACTCTCGGCCATACCAGGGCATTTTGGGGCCTGAAGTAGGAACAATATTTTGATTATCAGTTAAATCGACAAATAAAGATCGTATGTTTACTCTGATTGAGGTCCGTTTGGTTATGGTAACCAATGGTTAGACACTTTAGGTGACATGACTCAAAATCGTTCGCAATGACACAGGTGCTTCCACTCCTTGTCGTTTTCTAGAATTTGAGTCCCGAAATCTTATATCCTTTATGATTTCCATGCATACTCTGTTCTACTGGCGATACTGTTATTTCTCATACTCTAGTATCTGTCTTGAAATAATTTTTATCTCATTGTGGTAATTTTTTCTGGAAACTGAACCAGTTCACCTGTATCGGGTTCATTGTTGAGTATGGAGTGACATATTTTTACTCTGTTAAAAACAATTTGAACTATGTCACTGTTCAATTTTCTAGGTGGATAAGTAGTAGTAATGCTTGTATTAACTGTTGTCATGTTTTTTTAGTTTTTACGACAAGAACAATTTAGTAATGTTAGAAGAATTCACTAGTCATATTGTTTTTATTAAGTGGGAAAGTCCTCCCCTATTTCAAGAGCATCATGTTATTTGGTTCACCGAAACCTATTCAGAAGTTTAAAACACTTGAAATTTGACTAGCTATTTTTTTTTTACAAATATATCCGTTAATTAGTTATCTTTTTCTTGTAAGCTCAGTCTCACACGTTAGATTATATCCAGTCATTCTACCTAGCAGTAACAGTATTTATGAATAATTTAGACCTACATGAACAAAATCAAAAAAAGTAAAATTCGTCCAGCGCAGAATCCACTCTTTGACGTATTCATTTTTAAAGCGGTACAATCACAATGTACACTTATTTTTCCAGACGATAACAATGACAATACTAGTGGTAATAAAATTTTGCTCCACTGCCTTATGGATCAAACTTTTAGGTCGAAGGTTCCGGGTGTGACCCCCTAAGAAAACCACCTACCTCTGTCTAGGCACCCGAGCAGTATCACAGTACACAAATAGATCAAGTGACTTGTGTGGCGCATATGTATTCTGTGCCCCTCTGTACCAATATTTATGTTTTCAAATAAATGAATAAAAAAATATATAAACAAAAGAAGACGTGAGATTGTTATTTTTATGAAGCGAACTGATAATGAAGCTGTTGAGATTTTAATATTCAAAATAAAGAAGTTATGATTCGAAAGGAAAGGATCAGTGTGATCAGATAAAATGTTGAAATTTCACACTAGAATTTGAAAACATAGTATTCATTTTCTTGATGTCTAAATGACAGGAAACGCTTTTGAAATATCCAGCTATCAAGCCTTCATAATTAGTACTCCATTAGTCGAAAGTGGACGAACAATTATAGTCCATAAGATATCATGGAAGTCAAATACAAGTTACTTTACTGAATTGTGATGTATTTTAGTGTTGTAATTGAGAATAGTAAATATTTTGATTGGGATTAAATTACTCTTTTCTTGGTTAGTTGCAAATGGTTAAAACATAAGATCACTATCTTCCTTTGTAGTAAAATGATTATTGATAGTTTTCACATTATCCATTTATAATATTTCGTAGTGAAAAATGCATTTTCTTTGAAAATACATAAATTTTGGTATACCAGGTTGCCGAATAAAGTAATAACATTGTGAAAAATGAATTGGGAAGGTTATACAACCTATAAATAAATGAATTAGTCTTTGATAAATGATATAGCTTAATTAAAAAAATACGCCTCTGAAGGTTTTCTTTTGGCTAGGGGAGTTAATATTACTATTATGAAGAACCTGATAGGAAATTATAACAAGATTACCTTCGAGTTGCATGATCTCTAGAGCCATAACAATGTAGCTGTGATGAATAAACAATTACTAGTCCTATTCAACTAACTTTCTTGCCACAGTGACTTGTTATCAAATGACCATCCGCTCGCCTTTACTATCTATTAAGTCTGATGGTCAGTAAATAGTCGACGACGTGGAATTCGGTGGAATGGCATACGTAAATTATGTGCAAGCCATCGAAGTAGGTGTTTCAAGACGATGGTATCGTTTAAATTATTGTCACCTGTCTCAAACATACACTTTCAGACCTTGATATTCCTGATATAAGATTATCTCCTGGTGTAAGTGTGGGTGTATTTACTCTTTGTCTTCTCCTAAACTGTAAGATTAAAATTACTTTACACTTTTCTTTCTACGAACTAATCATTTCTCCCTGTATTAAATCCTTACATGCAAACTTTCTTTTATATATTACTACCATTGAATTAACTACTTCTATGAATTTGGTGTTCATCTTATTGTGCTAATGAGGTGTGGCAACTTGAACCAACGCTTATGTATGCCTGGTCTTATATTGTAGCTTGCTTCAAAGGTTTCGTTACAATTAAGTTATATTCTTATCAGTAATCTCAGTAGTATTTAATATTCTCATTACTCTTATGATTAATTTTTCAGGTTTATCCAATCGTTATTGGAGACCATCATTCGATGAATTACGTCTAATACCTCATATCACTCCAGTATTACCCTTAACTGTAAATGGCTGTTCTGGAGGTTTGTCTACTCAGTGTTTTATTTTGGCCTGTAATTTTTTGTTCACAGCATTTGTAAAGATTCTCATTCTATTAGTTTGATTAGTTATTTGGTGTTATTAACATATCCTGGTTGCTCAGTCCTTAGTGTCAGAGTTAGTTGTCTTGATTACTAAACTACGATGAAGCTAATTTCGGTTCGTGTTCCACATTTCACTATTTGTATCCTAGATTAAAGAACATTTGAGTGAACAGTTGTTCTAAATAACTTCACCATCATCATCAGTGACTCTGCATTTATAAATTTGTAGCTGTTGTATTACAAGACCAAAATAAGGCATATGTGAATAGAAGAATTAGACAATGTTATGTTAGACTATTCAACTAGTTAGTCAGTCAAATACAATGTAGATTTTGACAGATATGTACATCGGTACAAGTTGCCATACTCGATAAGTGCACCAAGATGAAATTATCTAGACAAACATCAGAGTATTAGAGATAGTATTAACAGTATTAGTGCTGATAAAAGCGGTTAAACATCAAAGATACGAATTGAGGCGAAAATGTAAATTAGTGAATCATAAAAAAAGCTTTTGAGGAATTGACAACTTAAAATCTAAAGGAATACAAAACGTGAATGAATCTGAGCCATTCCAAACGATTCAAAGTCTCTAACCATTGGCCGTGATAATCATCCAATGTAACCATTATGTACTTACATGACTCAATCCAATAGTTAATGTTATCAAAGTGAGAATCTTCAATACGAACGTCAAGGCAGTTCTACTGTACAGAGCTGAAACTTGGAGAACTACTACAACCATTGTCAAGAAGGTACAAGTATTCATAATTAGCTGTCTACGCGAGATACTCAACATTCATTGTTCGGATACCATCAGCAACAGTCTTCTGTGGGGGAGAACAAACCAGTTTCCAGGTGAAGAAGAAATTAGGAAGAGACGATGAAAATGGATAGGACATACATTACGGATATCATGAAACTGCATCACGAGGCAATCCCTAACTTGTAATTTTGACGGGAAGCGGAAAAGAGGAAGGCCAAAGAACACATTACGTCGAGAAATGGAAACCGATATGAAAAGGGTGAATATAAACTGGAAAGGATTGCCCAGGACAGTGTTGGATGGAGAGTGCTGGTGGGCAGCTTATGTTCATCCACGAGGATAAACAGGCGTATGCAGTAATATTACGTAATAAGACAGGTTTCATGGGGGTAATTGTAATAAGAAATTCATGTAAATTGAGAATGATGAGTGTGCAAATCAAAAATGTGTTTTGACAAGGCGGAGATAAACATAAAATAACATGGGAGTTAAAGGTTTATAATATATAATTTATGTAAGAAGTAACCTAATCGTGTGTCACTATGAACAGAGAAGTTAAATATATCTTTTTCTTTGAATATATTAGTTTAGTTCTCTAGAGTTGATCCTGATCCCTTCAATTATGTAACGAAGTCATAATCATACTCATTAAATTAAATTTTTTTCAGGATGTGATATGAAACAGAGAGCGTCTCACCTGATTTCAGTCACCTACAACGTAGGACCATAGATGATTGGGCCACGTGTTACGTATGCCTGAACACCGATTACCATGACTCACAATGCTGACTAGTGTTAGGAATGGTTGGAAGAAAGTTAGGGGCGGCCAAACCAAAACGTAGCATCAGTGCTTCAAGTCACTAACTTCTAGTATGAGCCATGCTGTTAGATGCAGACTACTTGGTTGGTGTCCGCGTGACTATCGTAACCAATGGTTGGAGACTCTGGATGGCATGGCTCAGAATCAGTCATAATTGCGTAGGTGCATACATTCGTTGTCTTCCTATAAACTATGAGATCAAAATTATTTCACATCTTTCTGTACTATAACCTGACATAAAACCTTTCCCTTATATATTACACCATTGAGTTAATTGCTTCTATGAATCGGTGTTCGTCTTGCTGTGCTAATGAGGTGTGGTAACTTGGACCGATGCATGTATATGCCTGACTGACTAACCTCATTAGCACAACAAGATGAACACCAAATTCATAGAAGTAGTTAATTCAATGGTAGTAATATATAAAAGAAAGATTGCATATGACGATATAATACAGGGAGAAAGAATTAGTTCGTAAAAAGCAAGTTATGAAGTAATTTTAATCTCATAGTATAAGAGAAGACAAAGAGTTTATATACCTACGCAATTGTGATCGATCCTGAGCCATCTCACCCGGAGTCCCCAACCATTGGTTACGATAGTCACGTGGACCCTAACTAAATGGTAATGAGAAATTTAAAAATGATACATTTTGAGTGTTTTAAGTTGTTAGCTAATACAAAGTTCACTTTCTGTTTTTAAAAAATATGTTACACTGTCTAACTCGCTTATTTATGTGACCTTATTTTGGCCCTTATAGTACAATAATTATAAACGTAGGGTACCTGATAATGATTTTTAAAAATTCATTCATAGGTTAAATATTGAACTGACTTTACCTAGACAACTATTAAAACAGTTATTTTGTCCTGTCATGGGACACTTCGGGAATGCACACCTATGATGCCGCTGGGGAATTATACTCAAGGTTTCTTAGCTTCATATGAAGCACGTTACTTTCAGATTCTTCAGCTGATACTATCCGATGGTTTACATTTCCAAGTTCAATAATTTCAGAGTATCATCTAACTGTCATCGATAATACGTGTATCACACAAGAAATGATTGAACTTCCACTAATTCTAGATTCTCACTAGTACTTTAGGAATTCTCCTCTTGAATACTCACTGCTGAGTAGTTCTGTACTTAGACACATCAACAATTCAGTTCTCTTTAATTTTCAGTGAGTATGTAGCTAAGTTAGATCATGGTTCAAAATCACAAATATAAGTCTTCACTAATAACCTCTAATATGAATATCTTTATTCAAGAAAAAGTAAATAAATAACTTATCTAGTATTAAGTGGTTAGACGTAGTTGACAACAAACGATCAGATAGACATAATAATGATCACTACTCAAAGATTAATCAATGTAAATAGCCTTTTTTTCTGTACCTTTTATGTAGCTATGCGCGGTCTTATCAATATGGGCAATACATGTTTCTTAAATGTTGTCATACAAGCGTTGACGCATACACCCGTTTTACGAGATTATTTATTGGCTGATTTACATAGGTGTTCAAGTCCAACTCGATCACGTAACTGTTTAGCTTGCGAAATGGTTCGCATTACACAAGAGGTATATATATGTATATTTACGCATATAATTCATTGTTTAAATAAATATCTTGTTTGACTATTTGAAACGCTTCATAAGAAGCACTGCTTAACATGCTTTTTTTGTATAACATCAATTCTTAGACCAGTAATATTTTTTAAGGAATCCAAACTTAACGTTACAGTCTAAGCAAAGATGGACAGTGTATTTTATTTTATTTAAACACATAAACGTTGGTACAAGGAAGCACCAAATAGATATGCGTCACGTTCCGTTACTCATTTTATGTGTGAACTGGAATACTGCCCGGACGCCCAAACCGAAGCAGGTGATTTTCATAGGGGGCCACACCCGGAGCTTTCGACTTAAGGGGCTGATCCACAAGGCAGTGGAGCAACGTCCGGAGATGCGGTCCCATGGTAGCCGGTGACCAATAATTGGTTCATACGCCGTTTCCTTAGGATCCTGGAGCCCATGTGTACCATTGATTCGGAATCAGGGTTTTCCAACTCTTTTAGGTGCACTCTTCGTGTCCACTAAGCCTGTCAAAGCGTCGGACATTCACTTTTCTTCCTTTCAATTTCGTAAAAACACCCCCGCCGCGAGAAGGCAGTGGTTGTATGCACGTGGCCACTTGAGAGCATTTGGAGAAGGGGAGCTGACTCTTTCCACTATTGACCGTACCAGGGCATTTGGGGGCGGATGAATAGTGGCTAACAGTGGAATCAAGGACGCACGTTTCGTTACATTTATAGATATTTAAAAATGAGGTATTTGCTCTACAACTTTTGTCACGTAGAAATGAAATGTTTGTACACTAATTAAAATCACGTTTGATAGTAAAAAAAAATGTCATTTTCTCTTTATAGTAATTGTACATCACAGACTGACTTTAGTTAGGCAACCAGTGAAAGTCAGAAAGTATTGAATAGTTATTTAGTACTCGTACAGGATCTCTCAGCAAGGACATCTACGACCCTACCAGATTTCGAAGTGTTAGGGTGAATAGTTAACCATCAGACTGCCAAATTGGTGGTTTACATTCCTAACTTCAGCCATTTCATGATATTACACGAGCATCGTGTTGCATAATCCTTAGTACTTGATTGAATTCTGTTAATCAAGTTGGTATTGTGGTTTGAACCAATGGGGCGCAAAGGGTGGGAATATCCACTTTCATCAAAGCATCAGATCTATCTTGTTTACTTATAATATCATTGTACACTTCTTTGTTGATTCATTCAGACAAGTGATCATATGGTAGCTTAGTCGACAGAATCCGTGTAATACAAAACTGACATTGGTCACTGTTCATCTCCTGTAGTTATTATGAATAAGGACATCTGGAAAGAGAAAGGAAAGGAGACTCTAACTTCATAGTTGTTTGTCCTTTCAACCTTGTTTGATATAATGTTTTCAATTTGTACGGAGAGTAGATCAAGTTACTGGATTTTTATGAATATCATTTACTGCAGTGGTTTTGTGGAGACTATACAACATCAGGAACGATATCAACCAGAAAAACCACTGATAACTAAGGTATACTGGATAGTTGTTTTATCTCTGTTCGTAAACTCTTTGCATTTTCGGGTCGAACACATAAGTATCAATTTTTGGCATATTGAGTCAGTTATTATTGTTAATAGGTTTTCGAAGTATCCAGTGTTTTAAATTCAACTTGCTTCATATCATAATCCTCATCCGAATGTCATCATTGAGAGTTACTTACCACATCACCCTATTTCTGACTTGACCTCTTTATATCTTAAGGTCTTCAGTTCTCAATGCTGTGTGTTATTGTAGAGGTGCGCATTATACAGACTTGAGCCTGTTACCTATCTTGGAGCATTGATTGCTGACCAGGGATATCCAGTCAAATCCGTCCTGAGCCCTCTCTTCCTAGTTATTGCCAAGTGTTGTTCAGCCTTCTGATGTCCTCCTGTTTTCCTTTTGTCTTGAGGATTCCAAGTCTACCTTCTCATGTCTGCCTCTATGTGAATGATCCTTCCGATCCCCCCACACTTTGTAGACATTCTTTGTATTCATATCAATTTTTACTCTGGTTTTTAGGAGTATCAGCCTCGTGATTTCCGAAAAATCTCGGCTTTCACCATAAGCTGTTATAACTTTTATATGAAAATTCCCAGGTCAGATTTTAAATGGTCAAAATGATTTTTTTCTGGCTAGAGATTTTTTAGCTAAGTTCTCTTTCATTAAACGTGGCTGCTAAACCCATCCCGAATCCTCCCTCTTTACAAGGACTTGGGATCGACAGTAACCCTAAGAGTGCTCCAGTCAGAGTTTCACGTTATACAGAGTATGTTTTCAAATGTAGGTTGGTGTTACTTCACGATAAGCATTGATAAGCATTGTATATATATAATCGAAGTAATTTTTTATCTCTCGAATATATAGTTATATAAACCCGTTGTTACTCCATTCGTACCAAATAATCTACTGTATGCAATTTGGTTACATGCAAGTCATTTAGCTGGTTATGAACAACGGGATGCTCATGAATTTCTTATAACATTGTTAACTTTAATACATGGTCATCTTGTTGGCGAGGAATCACCACACGATCACGAAGGTGAGTATATAGTTTTTTTCTCAATTTACTCTTCATATCATGGACTGAGTTTGATTAGATAACAAATTTAAACCAGGAGGCACTGAACAACTGCTTCGTCCTAGTGTCGAACTACATTCCGGTTCGAACTTAGGGCTTCCGAGTCTCGTGATGAGCTTTTAACCTTTAGACCATTGAATTGACATGTATGTGAGAGACTCTAACATTTGGAGTAATAATGCAGTTACCCACCAATGATTGCGCGAATATGCGAATACATTGAGACTAGACATGTAAACAATAGGTGCTGGTTCAGTGGTTTAAAAGCTCAGTGCCTACCTTGATACATGAGGGTTGCGAGTTCGATCCCTGTTAGGGTCAGAAATGTAAATCATTGAGAAATCCTGTCATCTTATGACACAGGTATTTAATGTTTACTAATTTTTCATAATTGTCTAACTGAGATCAGCCCGCGTTATTTTAATCATAAAAGTTGGTTATTACATGTAAAATACAATTTCTATTATTAGAGAATTGTACATTGACTGGACAAAAACTTATCAATGATCAACAACCACGTTCTTCTAATCCAAATCGTAATTTTACTAATACAAATCATGATTTACTACATCCTCATCAGCATAATAGTAAAGTGATTAGAGAAACGCCGAAAATAATCAATTCAACTGAATGTATTCCACAACCGGATTCAAATTCACAAGCATCATCAGTATCGAGTTCTCGAGAAAGTTCCGATTCTTGTGATTGTATTGTTCATCAGGTAGGTAGGCGATAAAATCTTTATCTATGCATATGTATATTTATGTAGTGAATGGTTGATTTACATTGAATCAGCTCCACTATTAACAGTACTAATACGATACAATGGGTTTTAACACTGTCAATTAACAGGTTAACATATATAGGGAATGAGTTAAACAAATGCTGAGTATAATTAGGCGAAGATCTTGCATTAGTTGGTAAAATCATTTACTGATTAATAGGAGTTGTCTCATTAACTATGTATACATATAAACCTCAGATGATGTGATTTGAAATCGGCTGCAGGTCAATTATTCATGGTCCACTCAGGAACTGGCCTAAAATTATTACATCCACTTGAGTTGTACTACACGAGTTCAGCATGGTGAAATGAAATCCAACAAAACGATGAATAGAGGAATCGGAATATTTGTTGTATTAATGATATTATGGCCAAATAAAAAGAGAATATCATCCGAAGGGGAACAGAATAACGAAATGAAAGCATCTTCATTAATCCAATCGGTTTTGTATCATGTTACTGAAGATTAATAACTGTTAGTCATACAGATTCTAACCAGGCATTCAATGACTTCATGTGCTGATACTATGATTTCGTTTATTTTTACCTGTTACGTCCTTGATCTATCTACCCGGTAATATACAGAAGAGAACTTGTGTCGATGTAGATTGATACGATAGGCTAACTGGTTCAACTTTGAGGTTAGAAATGCGTGAGTTCGAATTGAGATTAACAGTTTTGGGCAGAAAGTTGAAAACTGTTCTATCACCTGATTAGTTGGCAAGCTAAAGAGAAGACGAGTCAACTGGAACATTACTCGATTTATTCTTGATTCAGATTAATATTTAAAAAAATAGATGACTAACTCGATCACAATTCACAGACCATTAGAAAAATACAATTATGTTTAAACTAACCATTAGGGTAGAAGAATAGAGTTTAAATTACAATAGCTTTGGAACAATAGAGAGAATGCCAGTGAATCATGCATCACACGAAAGCTTATTGTTTGTGGAATAACACAGGAACAAAACTAAGTGTTAGTATTTTACAGACTTTAAATTCAGTGAAATAATGTCCTCAAAAATGACTTTCGTTGTTCGTCATGGCTTCTTTACCTATCTATTCATATCACTACCTTTAGCTTTCTTCTAGTGTACTTCCACTTCTGTCAACATTGCTCTTCTGAGTTAAAGGATAGTTAATGAAGTAACACATAGTCCTAATTACTCCATAGTCTTTGAAGACTTATCGACCGAGTTGCCATATCTTCTTAAGTGATCAGATTATTCATAGATGTTATTAAGCTTGTATTATTGTACTTTGAGGGATAAATATTCGCTATATCATATATTCAAACTAGCGAAACACCCAGTCAAATGATTTCGAGTTCTGTTAGATATATCAAGGCGTTTACTACCTCCAGGTTGCATACACTTTTGAGGGATATTTTTTTCTTGTTAGATCTGAAAAGAAAACTGAGTTAGTAATGTTTTTGATGACCCGGGAAGGTGATCTCCGACTGTGGTCAGTCATACAGCATTTTTGTTAGTAGTTTTCGATATGTTACCTCCGTACTTTTAAGAACTTAACGTTGTCTATGGAGATCTACGAGATCAGGTGAGATATGTCACTTTTGCATCAGCTCTATGTAACCCTCCTTTTATTGTGCGAAGGCAGCATCATAAATCATGTTGATTTGAAAGAAACATCTTATGATTATCACATCTTAGTACAGTTTATAGTATGATTTTGGCCTCAAACCTTAAGTTAATCGCTCTTCAGCCGACTCACTTGACTTGGTAGAAGACGTAGTGGACTGAGTAGTCCAATAAATCTAACTTGACAGGCGACACTAACTACCACGGCATTGTTACAACTTCTGTTTATATCCAGCTTAAATCTATTTGTGGCAACCTTCACTTCTCCAATTATACAAATCGACAATATATTCAGCTACACTTCAACCGTTTTTGATTTAATACATGTACACTTAAGTATCAATAAAAGACAGGTCTTTCACAAGAGAATTTTTGTTGTCCTTTACAATAGACAGTATTATTATTCAGTTATTAGCTCTTGAAAAATAAATTTTCATAGGATATCCTCAAAACTTTCTTCTATTATGTTTTGTTTTGAGCTGGATGTAAAATTGATTCTTCCCGCGTGTGTTGTTACTCTATTGTATGTATATGTATACATATATATGTAGGTGTTTTTTGGTGATTTGGAATCTGTCATATCATATGAAGGTTGTGAGCATAGATCATCAACAGTAGATCCATTCTTAGATCTTTCATTAGATGTAATTCAACGTGGTTCTACTTCATTGCAAGCATGTCTTGGATCCTATTTTCGACCAGAATTAATTGATGGTTTAATATGGTGTTCACAATGTAATATTGGTCGACCGGCTGTTAAACAATTCAGTTTACTTCATTTACCTAATGTTTTATGCTTTTATCTCAAGGTATGTATTTAATAGATTAGTCTGTAAATATGATTTCTGTTGTGACTGAATAGTTTACTAAATACATTGGTTTTTGTAGCAGTAAATATACCGGGTTCAAGTCTTACTGTTTATTTATTTATTTATTTTAACACATATATATATTGGTACAAAGAGGCACCAAATACATATGCGCCACACAAATCTCATTTGATATGTGTGGGGGCTGTGATACTGCCCGGGTGCCCAAACCGAAGCAGGTGGTTTTCTTAGGATGCCACACTTGGAGCCTTCGACATAAAGGTCTGATCCACAAGGCAGTGGAGCAACGTAAGGAGATACAGTCCCTTGGTAGCCGGTGACCAACAATTGGTTCATACACCATTTGTTCGCTCAGGATCCTGGACCCCATGTGCACCATTGGTTTGGGATCAGGGTGTTCCAACTCCTCTAGGTGGATTCCGTGTCCACCAACTTGGTTAAAGCGCCAGATATTCGCTTTTCGTCCTCTCAATTTCGTAAACAACATCCGTGGTACGAGAAGGCAGTGAGTAGGACTTCCCTGGCAGAGGCTATATACGCGTGACCATGTGAGAGCATTTCGAGAGGGAGAGCGGACTCTCCTCACTTTTGGCTGCACTAGGGTATTTAGGGGCAAGTCTTACTGTAAATATCAACAATACTAGAATCCAGATATATCTAACTAATTAGTCTTATATGAGACAAAACATACACTCTGTATTCTATTACTAGCTATTACACAGTACATAATTACTTGGTTGCCACATGAACTATTGAGACTCTCGCTCAAAGAGTCTATATATCGACAGAGTTTGATAAAATCCAACTTACAACTCACTAGGTATTTATTCATCTACTTGGCTTGGAGCTGCGCTCTTAATACATGAGAGTCAGCGGTGTTACCTGATTTCCAAACTAAAGCAAATGGGGCAGGGTTCGAATTTGCGGTCTGATAACTGAAAGTCTAATCCTTTAATCTTTGAACCACCGCTCCACTTGAAAATGATAACAATAATTGAATACCAACCCTTTAAGATTTATAGAGGTTAATACTATTTGAAACGTAATGTTCCTTCCATGAATTAATGATTACTTTCAAGATACACTGATTGATCCATAAGTAATGATCAACATCATATTTATTTTGTCATTAGTGTTAATTGAATTTGATCTATCAAGTTACAACATGTCCATCATTCTAAGTAACTGGACATCATGTTCACTATGTTTCGATGTTAGGTGGTTAAACATTGTCAGGAGGAAACTTAGGATATAAATATCATGCTAGTTGGAACTCTCTAACACGGCATACCTGAAATATTGAAGGAACTAATGTTCTACTGGATTAAAATCTAAACCATTCAGTCCCACAGTTTAATATGTTACTACTGAGCTATTCGGTCCGTTCAGTGGTTACGTTCAACACTATGAAATTGAGTGATCCAGATTTGGATCCACTAGAGAACATTAGTTCCCTCGAGATTTCATGTTCACCATGTTGACGAGCATGACACCGATATTCAGGGTTTCGTCCTGACTACTATCAAGGCGACGTTGCTAACTCAAAACCATGGTTTTATGAATTCAGCTTTACTGAGCATAATATTGATTGTATGAAGAGTAGTGATACTATTATATAAATATTCAAACGGACGTAAATGAAGTGGGATTCAAACCCGTATTCTTATTAGTTGAAAGTCGAGTGAACTGGACTTATCCGCAATTGTTTGTAGTTATATATGCGCATTTTAGCACAACCAGACATAACACATTAAAAACATAATAATTTCAAGCTGGAAACTTAATCTTTAATCAACATTACACCGGAATAGATCAGCAGGTATTTTGTAATGATATGGAAGAAGCAGAAAACACAGAGTAATAAATAGTCAGACTGCAGATATGACACATTAAGCTTGATGCCACGCAGAAACACAGTCTCTTGTGACCCCTGAAAATCAAAGTATCAACGCCATCCATTAAACGTTTGCGGTTATAATCTCAATCATCAAATAGTACTTTAACCATTCTCAGTTAGTTAGTCATCTATAACGCAGGACCGGTCACATACATGCATCAATCCAAGTTGTCATACCTCATTAACACAACAAGGTGAGCACCAAGTTAATAGAAGCAGTTACTTCAGTGCTAGTAATATATAAAAGAAAGATTGCATATAAGAATATAATATAGAAAGAAAGAGTTAGTTCGTAGAAAGAAGGGTATAAAGTGATTTTAATCTCACAGTTTAAGAGAAGACAAAGAGTTTATACACCTACGCCGTTGTGGCCATTTCTGAGCCATGTCACCCCGAGTCTCCAATCATTGGTTACGATAGTCACGCGGACTCCAACCAAGTAGTCAGCATCTACCAACATGGCTCAGACCAAAAGTTAGTGACGTCGAAGATTGATGCCACATCTTGGTTTGACCACCCCTAACTATTCTAACTTGTTGTTAATTATTTGGATTGTTTTCTCAACTTCATACCATGTATGTTCTTGATTTTCCACTCTTTTCAACTGTTATTTCATCATATCAACAAGCGTTGTCATCATGATACGAAAATCAATACATCGATCACATTCCCTGTTGAATTGGATATGGCTCCGTATTTACATCAAATTGTCGGCGACCAATCAGCTTGGTATGATAAGTAAGTTTGTTATTATGAATTTTAGTGATCAAAAAGGCAATAACTTTGTTATTTGTTAGTGGTATAGTTATATTAGACAAATTTCTCAGGTGGTTCGGACATGTATTAAGTATGCCCAACACCTAAGACCTGCCTCGTCGTGAAATGTTCGTTGAGATAATTATAATTTGAATTTAAGATACGGTAGATAAATACTATCTGGTTGCGATATCACTCGATAACGTTGATCAGTGATTGAGTACTTTTAATGATATGCCTCAAAATTGGTCAGACTGGCCTAGATACATTCTCTGTTTACCTTCAGTTCCAATATTCTTTCCTATTTTCGCGAACCAGATTTTAAATGTTTCGTCTTTATCATTATCATTGGTTACTACAATGATTTCAGATCATTTGCTTTTTGTTCTGTTAATTTCATCTTGTTGTTTTAATGTTGTATGGAAACTTTGATCACGCAAATTTATACGAGACTCTACATTGATTATAATTGACTATGATTCAGAAACTTGAGGACAACTATTTCCAAACATCTAAACACATGAAGAGACTATGTACACTCATAAATCGATTTCAACTTTCATAGATTAGTATCTGCATAGAGACAGTCCACTAAGGTTAAGTTAAATTAAACTAGTGTAAGGTTTGAGTACGTTCCGGTTGATCGTTTGCTTATAATTAACAAACTGAAAAGTGTACATCGTTTATCTATTGAACAAACTACGTAAATGAATTTACTTCATTAAGACTGATGTCGTTTAAAGTCTGCCTTGACAAATGACAACTGTTTCATCGAGCCTAACCAAAAAACATACACCAAGAGTTAATGACTTCAATTAGATTACCATTATATCTAAATATTAGTATTAGTAAATGAATATATTATCGCACGTGTTTCGGGCTATACTCTTCTTTCTTCATATACTGACTTCCTACTCTGAAATATTGATGAGAAACAATTGTTAGATACTCAGGACCTATCAGTCTCGCGCGCGGGCGCTTAACCCCTAGATCATTGAGCAGGCCGGCATCCAACGGTGTTAATGTCTACAGTTGTATTCAGTGAGTTCTATCTCACAACAGACCCGGTTGAACTTCACTGGTCACTGTTTCTCACTATTACTCCAGGAAATACCTCTTGAAGCCAGTTGCTAGTGAACATATGTTGATTGATATCAGAAAGATTTTGTGGATATTATAGTAATTTCACTGGTTGAGATTATGAGTCAATTGAAGCTAGACCATCATGGAAAACCTGGAAGCACTGGACGGTCGTTTCGTTCTGTTGTGGGATTCGTCAGTGGCAGTACTAATCCATGATCCCGTTTCGCTTCCACATTTTCCATAGGGGTCTAGATTCAATTGACCCATGATCTCAACCATTGAAATTACTATAATATCCACAAAAACCCTTCTTATACTCATACATGTTTCCTCGTGATTATTATAACCAACTTATTAATTTACTTAAACACATAAAACATTGGTACAAGGAGGGACTGAATTTATATTTTCCACACTTCGTCCATAAATTAGTCTGCAAGATGGTGTGTGGGGTTAGTCAACAGAGTCCCATGAAGTCAGGTTTCATGTTATTTAGCACTTATCAGCAAGGTATACCTGTGATCAAAAGGTACCAGATTTTCTCTAACAGATTTGATTCTATGTCTTTCAGCGTCATAATCAGAAATGTTATCTGCTGAGTTTCTCGAGCCGCGACTGACCTATTGTAGGACTGAGATATATACTCATAACAAAGGACGTGACATATATGAAATCGGTTACTACTTAGTAATCAATTAATTATGAATTATTTAAAATTTATTTAAACACAAACATAGGTACAAGAAGGTACCGGATAGATATGCGCTACATAAATCATTCGATTCGTGTGAGGGCTAGGATACTGCTCGGCTGTCCGGAACAGAAACAAGTGATTTTCTTAAAGGATCATTCCTCGATCCTTTGGTGTAAAGATATAATGAATAAGGCAGTGGAGTAACTTTAAGAGATTCAGTTCCACAGTAGTCAGTGACCAACGGTTGGTTCATACTCCATTTGTTCCGTCAGTATCTTGGAGCCCATGTGCACCATTGGTTCGAAATTAGGGTTATCCAATTCCCCTTGGTAGATCTTTCTTGTCCATCCTCCTTGTTAAAGCCCCGAACATTCGCTTTTCTTTTCAATTTCGTAAACTCCACCCCTGCTTCGAGAAGTCGGTGACTATACGCGTGGCTATGTGAGTGCATTTCTAACGGGAGAGCGAACTCTCCCCACCATCGACTGTACCAGGACATTTATATTAAAATATTCAAATAAATATTTTATAATTCTATTTTATTTTTTCAATTTTAGATATTCTCTATATGCTGTATTAAATCATAGTGGTCAAACTAATTCTGGTCATTACACAGCTTATATACGTGTTGGTCCTGGTGCTTGGTGTTTATGTGATGATCAAAAAGTTGTATCAGTTAATTTAAATGATGTTTTACATACAGATGCATATGTATTATTGTATCATAAGAATTTATTAGCTGTACGCATTTAAATTTATCTCTTCCCTTCCCTTTCCTTTCTTCCTTGTCTCTTCACTCCTCCTCTCTCTCTCTCTGTGTCTCTCTCTTGGATATTTCTCCAATTTATCCCCCCCCTTTCTACCAAATTATTTCCCTCCCCCTCTCTCAGAAAAAAGACAACAACAACAACAAAAAAAACAAATAGAAAATCGTATTTCTCTTTTTTTTATAGTGGAAAATGTTTATTTTTTTTACAAAAAAAAAGAAGAAAAGAATGCATTGTCTATTGTTGTTATTGTTTGTTTTTCTGTTTACTTTATTCTTTGCTTAATACTCGACTATTACTATTATTATTGTTACTATTCTGTTTTTTATAACTAGAGGGTAATCGTATTAGTAATAGTAATTTTTAACAACAACAACAACCAATTGTCTTTCATGGATTGATTCAAAAGCAAATAAATAAAGTGGTTACCTCTTCAATTCTTAACTATTCCACCACAGATTTTAGATTTTTGACACAAACGTCACTCACATCCAATTTGATTAAATAAAGTTTTGACATGATAGTTCATGATGAAATCGCCTCTCAACTCCCTTTACCCCCCGGAAAAAAGATCTAATTTCTAATGTTAACAATCAATTGTATATCATAATTCGAATACTTCATATTGGTTTATAACCTTCATTTTGGTCCTGTTTATTAAGTGGATACTATCAAGGTCAATGTAGCATCCTTCAATGGTATATCCATAAATTATAGTCTTACTGATAGATCTGTATGTTTAGTATTTTTCACTATATTTATACAAACTTTTCTTCAATTATGATTCTAGTTCTTCTTTGTTTTGTTTCTCAATGTATCTATGTTTGTCTGTTTTACAAAATGGTACAACATTATTCATTATTGTATTATCGAAAGTTGTAAGAAATATACGTATATGTTTATTTGGTTATGTGTGTATACACTGATTTCTATCTTTTAAACATGATATATTAAATATCAATTGTGATGATCTTACACAAGATGAAAGATAAGTTTTTGTGTAGTATGTACAATAATTATTGGAGATTGAATTGGGTATTGGAGTGTTTGCGATTCTATAGTTCTCAAATATAACACAGAGAACATCAACCCAATCACATTTGATGGTGAAACTCTAGAAGATGTGGAATCCTTCACATACCTGGGAAACATCATCGATGAACAAGGAGGATAAGATACAGACGTAAAAGCGAGAATTGGCAAAGCAGGGGCCGCATTCCTACAATTGAAAAACATATGGGACTCAAAACAACTTTCAACCAATATCAAAGTGAGAATCTTCAATACGAACGTCAAGGCAGTTCTACTGTACGGAGCTGAAACTTGGAGAACTACTACAACCATTGTCAAGAAGGTACAAGTATTCATAATTAGTTGTCTACGCGAGATACTCAACATTCATTGTTCGGATACCATCAGCAACAGTTTTCTGTGGGGGAGAACAAACCAGTTTCCAGGTGAAGAAGAAATTAGGAAGAGACGATGGAAATGGATAGGACATGCATTACTCAAATCATGAAACTGCATCACGAGACAATCCCTAACTTGGAATTTTGAAGGGAAGTGAAAAAGGGGAAAGTCAAAGAACTCATTAGGTCGGGAAATAGAATTAGGTGTAATAAGAATGAATGACAGCTGGAAGAGATTTCCCAAGACAGTGTCGGACGGAGAGTACTGGTAAGCGGCCTATGCTCCTTCACGTGGAGTAAGTAAGCATTCGCGACTTTTTGGTAAGTACATACTCAGTATAGCCGAACCTTATTTTTAGAATGGTAAATCTCTGATGTAAATTACACACTATTCATCCACTAAATAAATGGAAACAAAATAAGTTAATTGGAAGTTTAAAATAAAGATGATATAGAAACACAAGTATCCAGCCATTTAATAATCTACAAATGGCCGACAGTAGGGAGAGTTCGTTCTCCTTTTCGAAACGCTCTCGCATAACCACTGTTAAGGACATCCTGTTCATCACCTCATGGTGATAGTGTTCACGAAGTTTAGAGAGTGGAAGGCGAATGTCTGGACTTGAACTGCGCGTATGATTACGGCGGATCCACGTAGAGAAGTTGAAAATGTCTGATTTCGAACCAATGGTGCACATGTGCTACAGCATCCTGAGGGAGTAAATGACGTATGAAACGAATGTTGGTCACCGGTGGATTAGACCTCTAGATCAAAGGCTCGAAGATTGACCTCCTAAGAAGACCACTTGCTTCGATTTGGGCCTCCCGACGGTATCCAAGCCCTTTTATTTGAACACAAACATTGGTCCAAAAAGGCACCAAATAAATATACGCCACACAATAATAATGAGGCCAGTATCAAATAACATTGATTTTCGTGAGATCCCTGATGCTGCACGAGTGCTTAGACCGAAGCAAGTGGTTTTCTTAGAGGTCGCCACCCGGAGCTTTCGACCTAAAGTTCTGATCCACAAGGCGGTGGAGCGACGTCAGGAGATGCAGTCCTATGGTAGCCGGTCGCCAACAATAGGTTCATACGCCATTTGTTCCATCAGGATACTGTAGCCCACGTGCACCATTGGTTTGGAATGGGGGTTATCCAACTCCCCTAGATGGATCCTCCATATCCGCTAACCCGGTCCAAGCTCCGGACATTCGCATTTCTTCCTCTCAATTTCGTAAACAACACTCTTGATGTGGGAAGCAATGAGTAGGACTTCCATGGCAGTGGTTGTATGCATGTGAGAGCGTTTGGAGAGGGAGGGCTGACTCTCGACCGTACCAGGGCATTTAGGGCTCTTAGTTCATACACAAACTTAATAACCTAAGTTTCATTTCAAATTTCATGTGGATATTTATAAATTCAATATCACACTTATCATGCCATCTTTACTTTCACAATAATTGACTATTACGGAATTTTCTGTAGTTTAAAACACGAACTAATCTTATCTAAACCATCATTGAACAACTGTTTCATCCTAGTATGGGACCCTTCGGATGTTCATAATCACGATCCTGGCATCCGGGAATTGTAGTCAGGGCCATCGGTCTCGCATGCATACGCTTAACTCCCTAGATCAGTGAGCTTGGATCCAAAGGTAATGTCTAACTTTAATCAACTCATGATATTGTGCAATTCTCATCCATTACTAAAGGTGGATAGTTGTTCAATGCTTCCATGTTTCAAATAGTGGTCCGGGTAAACTCGGTTTGCGTCTCAAACTATGAAAATTAATTATGTACTGTTTATTCCGTTCCATACCACATATGGTAATAATTTGTGTGTAAAGGATGGTTTCTTATTTGATATGCTATCGACTGACTTGGTTCTACTTTCAGATACGAAGCTTCCAGGCTATTCTGATTTCATAGTATTGTATAGCTGTATCGAACTGTCTCTATTTCAGACATCGTTTCTGCGCTTGAGTTCGACAAAATTTCATTTTGGAAATCGTCACCAATATATTAACTTAATTATAAACAATGTCGAATGTAATGAAAGTACATACTGGTTCAAGTCTTCATAAATCATGCATCAAAATAATCAGAAATTAGAAGAATAGAAAAAACTGCTTACTACATCCTGTTAGTCGGCTACTTGGCATGTAGCACAAATCTTAATCATAGTCCATAGCTTGATTAATTGATTAAACACTTTCCCATATAGTGCTGTACACTATAATCTTACAGTTACTCAGTCAGTAATCCATAAGTCTAGACAGTTATACTGTATGGGTTAGAAATGTGGAGAACTACGGAAGCCATCACCTTTACATATCTAGGCAGCATCATTGATGAACACAATGAACCTGATTTAGATGTGAAGGCGCGAATCGGCAAGACAAGAGCAGCATAGTTACAATTGAAGAACATTTGGAATGCAGAACAACTCAACCAACATCAAAGTCAGTATCTTCAATACAAATGTCAAGACAGTTCTACTGTATGTTGCGGAAAGTTAGAGAACTACCAAAGCTACCATCCAAAAGATACAAGTGTTTATTAACAATTGTCTACGCAAAATACTTCGGATCCGTTGGCCAGACACTATCAGCAACAACCTACTGTGGGAGAGAATAAATCAGATTGTAGCGAAGGAAGAAATCAGGAAGAATCATTGGAAGTGGATAGGACACATTGAGGAAAGCACCCAATTGTGTTACAAGGCAGGCCTCCACTTGGAATCCTGAAGAGGAAGACCAAAGAACACATTACACCGAGAAATGAAGATAGATATGAGAAGAATGAACAATAATTGAATAGAACTAGAAAGGAAAGTCTATGACAGAGTGGGTTGGAGAATGCTGATCGGTGACCTATGCTCCATTGGGGGTAACAGACCTAAGTAATTAATCCAATAATAAGTGAACAATAAATCATACATAAAAACATATATGTATACATTTTAACAATCCACATATATCCACCACCTTTCATTATATTATGTTTCGTTAATTAACTAAATTTAATCAACTTGTCTGACGCTATAAACTATTATTGACGCCTATTACTATCAGCATTCATATCACTAGGGTGTTTTTTTGTATAAGGAGTTTTGATGTTTTACACAATGTCTAATTACATATCCTTCATTTCTAAATGTATTAACTCTCTCCTATGTGTTTATCTGTACACATACACACCTATACACACACACACTTGGGCACGTATCCTGTAGTAAATAATTTCCGTTTGTTTTTAGAAATTAATAATTACACATGATTAAATTTGTTGGTTAAAAAGTAAAAATTCAGTGAGTTAAAATAGTTAATTCTTAGTTTATTCAGGAACTGATACACATGACATTGATCACCATATAGTGATCAATCAATTATTAATACATCTCAATCTTACAAGAGGTCAGTTGCGGTCCGGATAACACAGTGATAATCTCTGTGACTGTGAAGCTGGATGATATAGGATCGAATTCGTTAGGAAGCATCAGTTCCCTCAAAATTACAGGTACACCTTACTGATGAGTGCCAAGTAGCAAAAAATTTAGGTCCAGAGTTTCCTATTGACTAACTCCAACCACTATCTTATCCTAACATGGTACACTCAATGTCAAGACACCTAGACTAGTGGCCACATTGCAACTTGGTCAATAGGATTCGATCTTCACTAAGAACGATATGATATAAATGACATTGATCATCACCCAATGATCAATCCATTGTAAATTAAAATTCATTTTGGTTATATAACTGGCTAGATATAGTACGTTTATTTTACGTCCTGTATTCATTATAATTGTTTCCTTTTGAAACAATCCAAAGAATGTACACTTATGGTCCATTCACTTGGTGTTGTTTACTTGAATCTTCCCATTGTTATTTAGGACTGCAATTAATCAGTCTCTTGTTGGCATATGTACATCAGTAGCCAAGTAGATAACGCGATGGTGTTTGAAGCGAACAGTACTGGGTTCGAGTCGCAGATTAAGCATCAACTATGAGATACAGGTACATCTAGCTGACTAGTCCCAAATAGGACGAAACGCGCGTCAAACTGGATTCCACTGCTAGCCACTATCCATCTATACACTTATGGTGTTTATTTTTGCTTGTTGAAAAAAAATATAGTATCAACTACTGTTTATTTGTACTTCGTGGAGGTGAGATTAACATTAGGTTATCGTTGAAAACCAGAAAGCAATTAAATAGCTATTACGTCTTGGAATAGGACACCTCCTTCAGTGCAAAATATAAATCCTACCATGGATTAATCCTGGAAATTCATTTTACATGATGAACATATTACCTTTTAACAACTTAGTTCGAGTACGGTGGTCTTCATCTCTAACTTTTATTAATTCATGTCATATATTCGAGAGAACATCTTGATCACTGTCATCAGAAATGACTGCCTTACTGCTAACTTGGTTAATTGCACAAATTACGAATAGATCGAGTGTGGTTAGCAGTGGAATTCAAGGCACGCGTCTCGTCTCATTTGGGACTCGCTAGCTAGATATATTTACATTCTCAATTTGATGTTAACTCCTGGACTCGAACTCAGTACCGCTCATTTTGAATTCCATCGCGTTATTCACCCAGCTACTGAGTTCAAAAAGTCACACACTTATGCAAAAGAGAGGATATTTAATTCAATTTGAAGCGCCGAGATGCGCATCCTGGCTTACTCTGCTAACCACATTCCATCTATTCTATATCAACTTGTGTCATAATGGCTATATGCACACAGTCCTCACAAGAACTCATGTCAATCAAGGCTTATCCAACTTCAGTCAAAATAACAACAATGGGATAATCCTAGCCATTTCAAATTGAATTATACAAATTACGACTTCTTAACGAAATTTTATAAGGTCATAAAAGTACTTATATACGGGGGAATGAACATTTTATATTCATAGGGCATGTAATTAAATGGGGTCCGCATGACTATCGTAACCAATGGTTGGAGACTGTGGGCGATATATGACTCAGAATCGATCACAATGACGTAGGTGTATACACTCACTGTCTTTCTTTAGACGATGAGATTAAAATCGCTTCATATCTTTCTTTCTATCAACTAATTCTTTCTTTCTGTATTATATCCTTATACACAATCTTTCTTTTATATATATACTAATGTACATTCATTTGTAGTTATGATCATTAAATTGGTATCATGATCTTAAATCTTTTGTAAGCCATATATGTTGTTAAGTATAAACCAGTTGTTTGTATTCCTAACTATCACATTTTGTGATCCTATTTTAACGATCTATATGATTGAAATCGATTACTTATCTATTGAGAATACAAATTTACTCAGTATTGTTATATCTGGACGAGAATTAGGAATAATAACTGTTGGGATTCATTTATGAACTAGTACTATACACATATTTTGATTGTATAATTGTTAAGTAACTAAACTATTCATATTCATGTTCCTCTAATTATAAGCTTCATTGTGACTTATAAACTATTATTATACGATATACCCTTTCTGAGTTTTACCTAGTCTATGAATGACAGTCTCCCATATTTACAGTCACATTCAGTTAAATCTTGTACAGATGTTTGTTTACTAATTCATGATGTGATGTGATCTTTTTGGTTTGTATATAAACCCAGTATGTTTGAAAACCATCATTCATACCAGTGAAGCTGAGATTGGTATTCTGGACTCAACAGGCAAACAGAGCTAGAAAGGAAGAAGGACCGATAAGGACTCCAGACTGTTCGTACGGGTGTATATATTATTAGTTCGGTCGATAAACCGCTGTTCTCTAAATGGCAGTATCATTCTGTCATATATATAAATAGGGCAGAAGGCCACAAGTTATAATACGTATGATATCTGATATTAATAAATTTACTACTGTATAAAACCACAAGACTATATTGTCAATAGGCCACAAATACTTTAATATTTCAGTTACATTCCTAGTGATATTGGTCAATGGTAAATACTGTCATTGATGATTTGAATATTATAGTACAATTTATAACATCAAAGTAACAGACTTATGTTGAAACCAGAACCTAAGATTAACTTCACCTGTAGCTCTCTTAGAGTTACTACCAGTTCGAAGCCCGACTTAGGAAGAAGGGCTGAGCTAAAAAGCACAACTGGATTAAAGAAGTAAGAACTTAAGATTAGTGCTGCTGTTTTTTTATCAATCAGATAGGTGTATTTGTAATCTTCAAACGAGCCAATTCTTTGCCAGTGTAGGGCCAGTGAAATGTTACTGAGCCCTAGCCAAATCATTCGGAAGTTGAGTCACTTAATATCCAGTCGATCCCTGTCAAGATCAAGGATAACCAACGAGCATCAGTTAATCGTACGCCATGGACTGACCCTTGCGGGAGTGATCTCACCTTCGGTGGTATCTATTTTAACTAATATATTTCTGTAATAACGTCCTTTGTGTTGTACAGTCTTCAAAATGTCTATAGTACCTTGGTAATCCACATAAGGTGCTGACAATGTGGTGTGACTTCAATGTTAGCTGGTTCGTCACACCATTCCCGTCTAACTCGATTAAGTCTCCAATCATTCGACATAGATCATCTACACTGGTGAGCCCGACCAGTATTCACATTCTGGATCAGTCAGAAATTTTAAGAAGTTCCTTATTCCTTTCTAAATACCCAAAGTATTTTGAATTCAAACTGAACTGCTCAGTTTTGATATTTATTTATTTATTCATTATCAGTAATACAAATCAATACATTTATAAATGTTTTTTAATACCATAGCAACTAATATTACTTTTATATTATCCATAACGTTGTGGTCTCCAACCTCTTAATTTAAATATTTCATTATTTAATAATCGATCAATTACAATATCATGATCATTATTTATTTTACGTTTACCTTTAAGTAATTTAAATAAATCAGTTTGTAATGATAAAAATTGACGATTTTGATGATGACGTCGATGACGACGACGACGACGATGGTGATGATGATGATGATGTGGATATTTCCGTTTATTCATATAAGATTCATAATATCCTCTATAAGGATTCCATGAATCAATTCCATTTATCCAATAGAATGTATGTAAATTTTGGAACATAGAATTCGTTTTCTTTGATTTCAGTAATGATGATAACGATGATGATGGTGGGGATAGTGATGTTGGATATTCAGTATCCATATAGAATGGATCATCATATCCATATATAAAGATAATCATAGTAACTGTATATAACCAAATGTATAATAAATTTTGTTTAAACATAATCATATTTAATCTTTCAATGAATAAAATGAAAACTCATTTTTACTTAACGCTTATTAATACTTTGGGAAGAGGGTGGGTGGATGTTTGGTTTGTTAGTTAGTTGGGGGGGAAAGAGCGGTATTCATTTTTTTCCCCATTCTAACAATATAGATATTGAGAAGAGTGGGGAGGGGGAGAGGTATTAATATTTTTTCCCATTCTATTACCGGTTCCTATAACCACCCACATATATTATAAATGAGTAGTTTTTTTGTACATATATTGTCCATTATTATTTATTAAATAACCTCAATGATGTATGTTACTTGTTCAATTTAATTGAAGTCAATCATTTTGTTTGTTTGTTTTTTTTCTTCGTTCTTCTTTTAATTGGTTAATTCATTTACAGTTGGATCTTTGTTTTCTCTCTCTCTGTCTCTCTCTGAAACAAATTAGACCAGAAACTTGATTTAGCGACTAATTTTCACAAAGGGTATCATTATAGTATCATTATTATTATTACCACTATTATTATTGATGTCACTGATAATTTTTGTTAATTGAATGCTATATTCGGTTCCTACACTATTTTTGTAACCCCCAAGATAGAACTACCCAGCCACCTGAATACGAGAAAAAAGTCACAAAATATACGAGAAACACTTTAATCCAAAGATTCGTTTGAATATAGAAAATATAGGGTTTTTATAGTATTTTAGATATCTTTGGGATTCCCGAAGATTCTGGAATGCTATTAAACATAGTAGCAGTATAGTTAATCATTCAATCAGAAACTCTACATGGGACCTTTCACTTTTTTGATGTTTCTGGCTAAAACTTCAAGTGAACGCTGATTGGATTTGATGTGTCTTAGTGTTTTCTGAGCCTTTCTTGTCTTTTGAGAGAAGTTTTCTGGATCACTCCAACAGTCAGTATTACTATTACTATCGGTATTATTACTATTACTACTATTATATGCCCCCAAATACCCTGGTATGGTTGAGAGTAGGGAGAGTATACTCTCCCTCTCCAAATGCTCTCACATGGCAACATGCATACAACCACTAACAGGGAAGTCTTACTCATTACCATGTGTCATAACTATTGTTTACGAAATTGAGAGGACGAAAAGCGAATGTCCGGTGCTTTAACCGGTTTGACTGACACAGACAGTCCTACTAGGGAAGTTGGGTAACCCTCATTACAAACCATTGATGCATATAGGCTTCAGGATACTGTGGAAACAAATGGTGTATGAATCTTTTGTTGGTCACCGGCTATTATGGGAGTGCATCTTCCGAGGTTGCTTCATTGACTTATGGATTAGACCTTTAGGTTAAAGTCTCGAGATGTGACCCACTATCAAAATCACCTTTTTCAGTTTGAACACTCGGTTAGTATCCCAGCCTTCACACAAATCGAATGATTTATGTGGAGCATATTTATTTGGTGCCTTCTTGCACTTATGTTTATGTGTTTAAGTAAAAACAAGAATTACTATTATTATTACTATTATTATCATTACTATTACTATCATCATTATTACTAAATGTGGTCACCAAACAATAAAAAAAAACCATTGAGTGACCTTGATTTAATCCAGTATAAAATAATGATTATTACCACTACTACTATTATTACTGTTACAATTACTATCATTCCCATTACTATTACCATTATTACTCTTACGATCATTATGATTACTATTATTATCATTACTATTGCCATTATAACTATTACTACCATGATTATCGTCACTACTAGTATCATTACTATTACTACCATTAATATTATTATTACTATTACGATCATTACTACTAGTACTATTATCATTACTATTACATTATTACTATTGCTACCATTACTATTATTATTACTAAATGTGGTCATCAAATAATAAAAACGTACTATTCGAGTGACCTTGATTTTATTCAGGATAAAATGGTGATTGGGATAAGATAAATATTAAACGCTGACCTTGAATATTCAGTTGTTCAATGTATTATTATTATTATCATCAACAACAGCAACAATTTTGATGATGGGGGATTTTTTTGTTGAAAGAGATGACATAATTCACATTGTATTATTATTAGGTCGAACATTAGCATATACATAGAGAGTGAGCGAACGAGAGAATTAGGTCTGTTATCCATTAGATTGGAATTATTATTATTATAGGTAGTTTATAGGAAATTGTCAAGTTTGGGAATGAGATAAAGAGTTTTTGGGGGGGAAGGGGAGTAGATGAAAAGGGGAGTAGTTGAAAAGAACGTTTTTGAAAAACTAGAAACTATTGAATTAGTAATTGTTTAATGTATAATTTGAATTCTCTTTCTTTTTCTTCTCATCAGATCGGAACATATTAGATGATAGTAGTATATGAGTAGAAAAGTCAAAGATGGATAAAATACTCGTAACATACAAGTTTTCACAATGAGTTATGAATTCTTGGAAGCTGTTACTTGAAGCAATGGTTTTCACTCCTTTAATTGATTCATTCAAGAGAAGACTAGACATTCACAGAAACATGCTAGAAAAGAAATAACATAGGCCTTCTGTTCTTACTAAACAAATCTGAATCTGGATGTGTAAATGAAAAGCACAAAGTCAAATGCAGAATTTTTTAAGTGATAAAAACAGGGTTCGTTTATGAATGAGGTGATATTGAGTATTCTTTAGAGGTTTGGAGGAGTTACTACTTAATCGTAGTTCAGATGGTGGTAGGATACACCTTTTCAAGATACTTGAAAAGAAACTGTATTAGAGCTGGTGTTTATGATGAAATAAGGTGATTAGAAACTCCACCTGTAACTCTTCTAGAGTTACTGCCGGTCCCAAGCCCGGGTAAAGAAGGAGGGTTGGGGATGGGGTTAACGACCCCATCCCGTAGAAGACTAACTCGCTAAAAGAACGCTAACCAGCAAAAAATAATTATAACCATTTAAACTCTGCCCTGAGAGTTAGGTCTTCGTTTAGAAGGAACATGACGCCTCATAGTGAAAGCCGAGCTCCTTCGGAAGCCACGAGGCCGATGCCACTTCTAACAACCAGAGCAACAATTTTTATAGATACATGGGACGTCCGAAAATTGTAGGAGACCGTGAAGACCAGTCAAATAGCAATGGCAATTAGGAGATACAACTTGGCCAGGAAAGGAGCTGACAGCTTCAGATCACCATCTAGTTGCAGTCAATTTAAAACTGAAGCTAAAGAAGAACTGGACAAACAGCACTACAAAGGTTCAATACAGCCTTCCTTCGAGATACTGACAAACTCAATGAATTCAAGATAGCTCTCAACAACAGGTTCCAAGCCTTACAGGATCTACCGAAAGAAGAAACTATGATGGAGGACAACTGGAAAGGGATCAAAGAAACATTAACTTTAACGTATCAGTTGTAAAATTACTTGACGTGTTTGATAATGTAAACTTTAGATAATTGAAATTCATGAAAACATTGATTGTCACTTCTTTCAAATCAGTAACGAGACATCTTAGTCGATGGACTATAATTTATGGACGAATCAGTCACATTTGAAACTCAACAATCTCTCAATGAGAGTTATCATGTGCTCAGCAGTGACTAACTTTGAGAGGAAATTTCTGGGTTTCGAGTAAGAAGCCGTGACCAGTAGAGCTAATGCGTGTCGAGTGTGAGACAGTTACTTACTGAAGATAATCACGCAATGTCGTGGATTGATTGAAGTTAGACGCTAACACCGTTAGATGTTAACACAAAGGTCCAAGGGTTCAGAATGAGATTGAAGACCCTGGGTTCAATTCCCGCGTGCGGTGCGAGTACGCGTTTCTGAAGGGTCCCATACTAGAAACGAACGACCGTCAAGTGCTTCCAGATTTTCAATGGTAATCTAACTAAGATAGGTTTATGATGTTAATAAAAGGTGGATAATTCTTGAGGACAGCAGTAGATTGGCCATCAACATAGACATTTCATAAGCACATTTTGGAAAAATGAAATAAATGAAGTAACTGGTTCCGATTTTTTAAGAGATCAGTTTCACCCCATACAACTGAATGAATAAAATTCTACACTCTGTTCTTAATAAGCATCCAGTTTCAGAAATTGATTACTTCTTTGTGGATGGATGATTCTAATGGACGTTTCGTTATATTTACAGATCATAAGCCGGATGTATCTACATCCCAAAATTGCTAGTTCACACTTTCATAAGTTCTATGCCCATGAACAGACGTTTTCCAATTGTACATGTATATTTGTATATGAATATGGTAAAATGTGGAAATCTTGCACGAACCCATGGATGCCTCATCCAATTGTATAGTTATTACATTCAACAGTCTACAACATTGTCGAATTCTGTCGGATCAAAACTGCAGACAGGTTGGATGGAGTTAGTCTGCAGAATTGTTCATTCTCATCCTTTTATATTTGGTTAATAATGTAATTAGTAGGATTATTCCCCTACCTTTATATTTTCGTTACTTCGCAGACATGTCAACTTAAGAAGTAATGCCTATTTTTGTTTGGCCCAAATTTGTCTTTCACTAATATTAAGTCTATTTGTCCAATAGTATATTTACACTAGTTCCTATCTATACAAGTTGCGTTGAAACAAATTAAAATGTCCTTTTCGCTGACCCAACAAAATGAAGCTTTTTGTTACACAATTGGATTGAGAAATAACTAAACACTCATTCATACATATGTGTATTTGCTGCTTAGGGATTCAAGCCACACTTTTCAACCATTCCTGAGAAAACGAAGTCAGACCCCAGCCAATTGGATGCGTTTGTCATCTGAACTGTCCGACATGATCACAGGATCAAGTTGGTTCAAAATCATTAGCAAAGTTCGACAATCCAAGTTTTCAATTACTCAGATTGAGGATTGTACAGTGATGAATCGATGTTTACTGACGACCAATAAATCTTGTCGATGGTAGCTGTATATATTCCGGCTTAAGAATTGCCAGAGAAACCATCATTTCTCAGAGCACTTTCCAACTTTTAGAAGCACTACCTCCAAATGCCCTGGCACGGCCGAGAATAGGAAGTCAGCCATCCCTCTCGAAATGCTTTCGTATGGCCACATGCATACAACTACTGCAACGGAAGCCCCACTCACTGCCTTCTCGCGGCATAACTGTTGTTTACGAAATTGAGAGGAAGAAAAGCGAATGTCCGGAGCTTTAACCGGATTAGTGGATATGGAGGATCCATCTGAGTGAGTTGGAAAACCCCCATTCCAAACCAATGGTACACGTGGGCTACAGTATCCTGATGGAACAAATGGCGTATGAACCTATTGTTGGTGACCGGCTACCATAGGACTGCATCTCCTGACGTCGCTCCACCGCCCTGTGGATCAGAACTTTAGGTCGAAAGCTCCGGGTGTGACCTCCTAAGAAAACCATCTGCTTCGGTTTTGGCACCCGGGCAGTATCCCAACCCTCACACAAATCGAGTGACGAAGTGTGGCACATATCTATTTGGTGCCTCCTTGGACCAATGTTTATGTGCTTAAATAAATAAATATTACTATCATCGACTCGATTATTATAGTTTCTCACACAGTAACATCATATATAAGTATGTAAATTGAAAAGTGTGATACAATTTAATAGAACTTTTCTTATTGTAATTAATATAAGGAAAAAAGAATATGAAAATGCACAATGTTCAGATATACATGATATTCATTTAAATGTATCAACGTGATAAACTTTAGAAACAAACAGAAAACAAGAACATAGAAAATAAAGCATTTGTTGTAACAGTCGATGAAGATGATTAGATTAATTAGTTAATTCAATTTAAAGCACATCATTTCCAGGATCATCTAAATCATTATATGATATCATTGTTCGTTCACCGGTTGTAGTACCGCCACCAACACCACCAACTGGACGTCTAAAAGTTAAGAAAAGGCTAAGTATAGTCTCGTCAATAAATACAAGAAGTGAAGTTAACGAAAATTTATTTTAAAAAAACTTGTGGAACACTATTCTTATTCCAATTACAATTATACTCCATTTATGATAATGTCCTAGTTCTACTTTCACTGGAAGTCTGTTGAATGAACGATGTCTTTCCTTTAGTTAACTGGTCATTGTTATATACTTAATTGTCTATGCACGATAATGTTGTATTTTGAAAGCAAAATGATCCAAAAAATTAATGAAGGTGACCTGGTTAAGAAACTGAATGCTCACAGGATAGGAACTTGAGAACGATCACTACCGATCATGTAGGTGTACTGCTACACACGTGTATTAGACAAACCGTATAAACATTTAAGGGAATTATGATTGATTAGTAGCTGAATAAATATTGAATACAACCATCGCACGAAATCAAATCGATAGCCACAACAAGGCTGATATTTTATGTAATTATTCCTATAAATCTTAGTTGGCGTACTGGACGGACAGAGCGAATTTAATTTGAGATTTCGAGATGTTAGCATTTGAAGCTGATTACTAAACAGTTGGTCAGTTATGAGCAACACAAAAACTGAAATATGTGTGCGTTGGTCCCATTTCCTGTATCACATTAACACAGAGACACAAAATTGTCGAGACAAATTCCCAGAGTAGTACAAGTAGAAACAGTGTCAACAGTAGTAGTAAAGACTAGGTATAGGAAAAGAAAAAAGGTGTACGGAGATTTCGGGACTCAATTTATAAGAGAAGTAAAAGAGCATATGCACCGGTGCCATTGAGAACGATTTTGAGACATGCCGCATAAGGTCTCCAACTATTAGTTACGACAATCACGCGGCCCCTAACCATGTAGTTTACACTAATTTACACGGCTCAGTACAACTATCTATCAATTTAAGGACTGGTCCCATGTCTTACTTTGGCCGCCCATAGCTTTCTTCCAATCTACTCACCTAGGCAACATCACCCGTCGATGTACGCGGTCGAGCACATACCCTAACCACGTAAGTTGATGAATAGTCACTACAACATTACCAACTGATTTGCCATATTTACCTAACATTCTATCCCTAAACCCGGGATTATTCATTCAATTGTCCTAAAATGCACGACCGATGCTTCGAGGATATCTATAGTCAAGACTAATGAGATCCTAAGGTCAGATCCCGGACAACATGGCGTGGGCTGTATACTAGAGAAGAGCTACACGGTAACAGGACTGACTGCCTTTTAAATTGAGATTTTGTCCTCAATGAAAGCCTTCTACCAGTTTGAGATAATTCGCGAAACCTTCAATCTGATTAGACAGAGTACAGAATGAGGAAAGATCCCATTAAAAACAATGTTCACTTTTACAACTGCTTAGACAAGATTTATTGAACAAGTTCTACTATGATTGATTTGTTCAGAATTACAGATCAATTAGGAATAGCACAATCTGCAAAAAAATTTGGGAAACGTGATAAATCCGGCAGAAAATACAAAGATAGAGAGATTCATACACAAAACTCATGATATACAATCAAATATTAACAAGATTTTATCGGAATCTACTGTTTAGTGTCCTACCAACCTCGCATCACCTACCGCCTGATAAGTGTATCAAGGGTTTAATACATACAAACATAAGTCATAACTGTAGCTTACCTATTTGTCGAATAGTTTGTAGGCTGTCTCCGGCGACTATCCAATGTACTACTGCTACTATATGGTCGATGATTGAAATCATGAGATGGTGAAGAACCACGTTGACCACGCGACCTAGACATTCCAAGACCTGTGCGAGGTGCACCTGCCTGTGCAGCCAATGCATACAAATCAGCTGCTGTCGCAGCGTTTGGATATAAAGCGGCAGCAGCAGCTGCGGCTACAGCCGCCATAGCTTGGTGTTGTTGTTGTTGAGCTGCCACATCATAATAGTCCTGGACAAAGGGAGAAATAGTTGAGTAATGGAATTTACGAAGCAGTTCAAAAACCTTAATTAATAAATGACCTGTAACTCACATAAGGGTTTTTTGCCTTATTTGGAACTCATTGGGTGGATATACCTGCATCCTAGTGCTGATGTTCACAGATTGATACTCTGACCCAATGCCGTTCACTATTAAATTACAAGACGTTGTTAACTGAGCTACTACTAGGTGTAGATAGCCACAAATTTGTTCAATAAGCATGATGTTTATATCATTATTAGTATTTGGGTTTGAATAGTAATGAAATAATTCATAGTTATTAATGATGGTATAAACTTGAAAAGCTATTACAACGCTGGTACTGACATGAGTCATTTAGTTCGAGATGTACAACTTTCCTTAAACACTAAATCAGTCAAAATGAATAGATAACAGTCGATTTTTTAGTTCATTATATCACCATTAAAACAATATTGAAATTGAAGATATACAATCGAGAAATTCAATTATGTTAAGTTTAAATGGCACAAAAAAGCACCCAGTAGTAGTATAGTTAGAAATCATTATTAACGTAAGCTTTGGTAAGAATCAGTGTCTATTCAAAGTTTCAAATATCAGTGAATTGAGAGGAGCGAAATTAACATGATGAGTATGAACGGACAGGAAAGTATACACCAAAATCGGTAAAAAAATATAAACAAAGAATAAGAGAATACAAATGAAATAAATGTGACCGAAGGATGGTAAATAAATAATGAAACTCAACCCAAGACTAAAAGGAACATAGTGTATACAATTGTGCGAATACGACCAGATTTGTGCTGTGGAGTCTAACATCTTCAACCATTAATTATTACTATTCTATTGGCTCTTAATCCATCAGGAAGGTTTACATATAGCTTCATCTACCGATTTTCCGTTTTTCTCTAGTAGTACCTTACTATAATAAACAACCAGTAATTCGGGAAAACCTATGATCACATAATTCCGGTGTCTAAGCATGTCTTCTATAGAGTGTTTTTCAACCGTAGAGCAATACTTGAAGGATTGCTGGACGGCAAACTTGCGTTAACAGTTGGTAGACGGACAGTATAGTAGAAGCTTAATTTATTACATTACATGTTATAAATTTTCTCAAGTAGCTCATAAGACACCTGTTTATCTCTGAATCCACAGAAATGAATAGTAAACCAACAAAAATGTTCAAATTGACAGAATATATCAACAATATCGAAACGAAAATAAGTTGTATGTATACAGTATACCTGAAAAGTTCCAGTACCCCGTACGTAACTTGGTGCTGTTGAAAGAAGTGAATTATTCCTATATCCACGATAACTTCCACCCGTATTACCACGTCCAGAACCTCTACCTCTGTATGTATGATTATTACTATTTGAATTCGAACTTAAAGATGGATAATATTGATTTAACAAATGATAAGGAGCTTCCGGTAATGATGGACGTCTAGGATCTTTCAAATAGTTATTATAAAATATTGCATTGTCTTTTTTAGCTGCTTCTACCTTGTCCATGTGTTTATTGAAAATATGTTTACGAACAAAAATTGGTTCACGGAATTTCTTGTCGGATAATGGACATACCCATACAACTTTAAATCTAAAATAAATAGTTTCGTTACATATGTGATTAGTTAATTGAATTAATTACTAAACAAAAAACATCCTGTAAAACACTCATACTTTGACTATAATTATCCATTCAATTTAATTGTGTCATGCACTAACTTTTATGAAACTTCTGTGAACATTTATTAACAAGAATCATTGGGAAAGGAGCTTGTAGGAAAATATAACGTGACATATACATAGAAGGATCAAATCTCGATGATTGAGGTAGTTAGACTGTCTCTTACAATTATTTTTTTATAAAACCGTGTTACTCAAGAAGGTCAGTGAAGTCAGAAACTTCAAAATGCAAACTTCAGAGTAGTGCACTTGTTAAACATGAACATGCATAAACACATTAACAGATTATTGTTCAGTATTCTCCATGTATATTCTTGTAACGTTGAGACGCAGTAATCTAAATAACCTTAGCTTAATTCTGTATGTTGAAATCGAACAATTTAGTGTATACTACCACTACTGGTGATACAAGCCCTTTGACGAAACAACTGTACCTACACTAACAAGTTATGTTAGTGTGATATAGATTGGATTAAAGCATCTTCCATGCACGATTATGTTGAGGCATGCTAATTGGGCTACTTCTTAACCAATCAGAGCTGGCGGAAACTCTAGAATCTTATGTAAAAATTATAAATATACTAACGTTTTTCTTGTTGTGATTTTTACTTCCATCGAATCTTGTTATTGAAATATAATTACATTCCTGCTCAACTGTGTTCTGATATGGGAATTTGTCGAGTGAAGTAGTGTCCAAGAACGTTAAGCAATAAGAGTAGCTGGATCGTATTAAGAGGAATTATAGCAGGTTAATGAGTAGTTACACAAATTCCATATTAAATTTTACATTTTTTGATGGTGATCAAATCCTAATATTTGATTCTAATGTGTTAGTGGTGGTTAAAGTAAGCCATGATTAAGTGATGAGCGAAGATAAACATACCTAGCTACAGTAAATATAAAAGACCATTTTCTATGTAAAACTGATTTTATTGTGATTCGGTTCTGTTGACAACTAGCACTTTGTGTCAAGATACTATTGCCCTGATCCATATCTAGTTCCAAATTATTGGTGTTCGGGGTTCACGTGAACTAGTATAATGATCTATATAGTAATCATCTGATGCCAGTTTAGTCTTTGATCCAATATCTAGTTATGATATTTAGTACTACCCATCTTCCATTACAACAGATCCTGTCATAACTTCATTGTGAAACACAGAAATGTGAACTACTACACAATCAAGCATTTCAGCCAGTAAATGTCAACCATGAATACTCCTACAAGCTAGATGATGTTTAACAGTAGTTTAACATTTTTATTTGTCTCTATCCATGTACATTCAAAACACTCCTTTCTGATAACTTTTTTTTAAAAAAACAATAAAAGAACTACACTTACGGTTTTTTCTTGCCAGTTCTTTTTTGAATATTAGCTTCGACGAATTCTTCTGCAGCTTTTTCAGGATCTCGCATACCTAACTTTTTCATTTCTTCTTCAGTTAAATCTTTTGGTACCTCGATAAGAGTACGCAATTTTAAAGCGAAATTCTAAAATGAAAATTTTGAAATCAAGATAAAAATAATACAGAAAAAATATGTTAACATCAGTTTACTAATAAACGGATGTAAAAGTTCATCAAAACAATCAACCAATCATAAGACATAACAAATATATTATTAAAATGTCATTTATGTAATAATTGACAATCTTAACTACATAAAGTGCGGATCGGTTAAGCGAGTCATCACAAAAACAACAAAAGTAAGGGGGTTACTGAACAGTATTGTCTAGACTCGATTTTCCATTACCGAATTAAGAACTCAAAAAACATAGTTTGCATGATAGCGACTTGACAACCTGAGTTGATGTAGTATTGAACTGAACGAGAATACAGGTGGGGACAATCAAATGTATTTCAAAACAAAATTACAGAATCAATTAATAAAATCTGAGAACCATACAGTAAATTCTTTATTTGCAAAATATCTATCAATTGTCTCATATTTGACTGATTCTTCTTTTCCACACCAATCAATCTCTGTTTTCGTCTCTTCGACCTTCTTGACCTTCTGCCTTCAGGCATTTCACTTTCGATTGGTGACACATTTTACTTATATCTGTCGACATCAGTATCACACTCCAAAGCACTAATGGTCCGTCTACAAAATATTTGACTTGAAGTTTATTACAAAAGATGGAACGAGTTTAAAACGTGAGACTTATCAATTAAAGATTGAGTACTGTAACCAAATTCCAAGCCACTGCTATACTTGGAATAAGAACACCTTTAAATTTAGAGGAAAGAAGTAAAGTCAAACGTCCTTAGACATTACAATTGGTTAATACCACTGCTAGAAATAACTTTTTTCGTTAACAGAATTCCAAGGAATTGATCTTTTTCCAGGAGGTCCACTTATCGACTCGGAATACGCAGATGACATAGTCCTGTTTGGTGAAGGCACTGATAAAATGCAATCTTTTGGTAGCACTGAGCAACAACACCAGGATGTTTAGAACGCGTTTCTCTCCATCCAAGCGTAAATTGTTGCTTCAAGACTGGCATCAGACCTTGAAGTCACTAAATTCTAATCTGAGCCATGTTGGTAGATGCAGACTACTTGGCTGGGTCTCTAACCACCGGTTATGACATTTATCGGTACAACTAAAAATTAAACACGCGCCAATTATTATTTGATGTAAAATGTCGTCGTTTATCTTTCTTATCATACCTGAAGGTGATCATTAATTTCTCTTTGAGTGAAAGCCAGACCACTAGAACGACCACCAGGAACAGTATTTATTCCTCTGTCACCTCTTGCATGAAGAATTCCACATCGATGAGGCATGAGATCCTCCATGGGATAAATAGCTCCTGCATAGTAATCCATAGAATGGACAATACGTAAATAGAGTATTAACAGATCTAAAGTACGAGCCAAATTAGGATCGGATTCCAATGTTACAGTGTGAACACGTCCAACTACATTATTACTACTATTGTCACATCCTTCACCCTCTGCTTGAGTTTCCGCTGGATATTCCAAACGTTGGAGAAATTAAAATAATGAATATTGGTAGTAAAAATACAATTGAGACAATATTAAGAATTAGACAAAAACACATAAATTGGTTGTAAAAATACATGGAATTAGTCCAGGTTTAGTGTGTTTACATTGTCTTAAATTTCCTATTATTCAGCTTATTGCCCCGTATTGCCTTACACTACTTGTTAATATTCAGTAGACAGTTCCAATCCTAATAACTTCTGAGCACATGATGTAACGCACGTTTATTGGTCCTGTAATATCATAAAGCATTTACATTAACTAATAACATTTATTGTATTTATCAATATAATTACATTCTCTCAACCCTTTTAATCGTTATCCATAATTTCTGTCCATTCCTTGAATGTTTTTAAGAACAACAGTTTGCATAGTTGTGTTCCCAGTCATTACGCTGATTGTTAGTAACTGTTGTCGACTTTCGACACAGTTACAGACAGAATGATGCTATTTTATGTTGTAATAACCAGGAGTTTTTCTCTTTCCAGGCACACAGACGTATTAACCGCTGCAGAGGCCTCATGAGTTGAGACTTTTAACCAATCTATGTATACTCTTTAATAACAGAACTGCCCTTTAGACAAATCGTTGTTTGTTGGACTTCGACTTCACCCGAATCTTAGCTGTGTATAGTTGGACGCTCCGATAGAATTCACAATACGTTTGTTGCAATAGAAAGCGTAACAATCATTTGCGATATCCTCTTCCTAAGGAAACTTTTTTAACTAGTGACCATTGGAAGATTTCATTCACCGGATGAAATAACATACAAATATGTACTCAGAGCTTTGAACTACACTTATGATCCGCGAGGGATGATGGGTACTACTAACCTGCTGGCCAAACCAACGTAAGCGATGAAGAAATGTTTCAAGCTGAGATCTGGTGTAAAGCCGAATCCATTAACCACTGAGCTACATTGTTTTACAAAACATGGCCATATAAGACAAGTGTTTTTATCAAAAGATAGTCATGATAAGTACATTTTAAGATTACAATGTCGAAAGGCAGTTACAATGAAAAAGTTTCATAATAGGATATTGATGAGTCGAAATTTTTAATTGTGACAAAAAACAGCACTTCCTAGAAAGCTTATAAAGAATACATCCATCGGTCCTACAGTAGTCATCAAAGTGAAAGGAAATAGCTTTTACAATGAATAATTGAGTACATTGATTGTCATGCAAGTGTCTAAAAGATGTAAGAATCATTAGTGGGTAGTGAAGATAAAAGGCATGATTTATGGATAAGCATACAGGATATTATATTACTGCCCCCAAATGCCCTGGTAAGGCCGAGAGTGGGGAGAGTCCGCACTCCCTCTCGAAATGCTCTCACATGGCCACGCGTATTTAGCCTCTGTCAGGGAAGTCCTACTCACTGCCTTCTCGTGGCGGGGGTGTTGTTTTACGAAAATGAGAGGACTAAAAGCGAATGCCCGGCGCTTTAACCGGATTCCAAACCGATGGTGCACATGGGCTCCAGTATCCTGAGGGAACAAATGGCGTATGAACCAATTGTTGGTCACCGCCTTCCATGGAACTGCATCTCCTTACGATGCTCCACTGCCTTGTGGATCAGACCTTCAGGTCGAAGGCTCGGAGTGTGGCCCCCTAAGAAAACCACCTACTTCGGTTTGGGCACCCGGGCAGTATCACAGCCCTCACACATATCGAATGAGATTTGTGTGGTGCATATGTATTTTGTGCCTCTTTGTACCAATATCTGTGTTGAAATAAAAATAAAAAATATTACATTACTAAACCCTTCGTCCATAACTAAATTCTACATATAAATGGACAACATAACACAATTGATAAGCAACAAATAAATCTCGTTCAACTGTTAAACTAACCTATAAGTGCTTCTTCTTCACTTCCACCTTCATCAACGAGATAGTCTGTCAGATTTTTAAGTAATGGATTTTTACTCTTAATAGCCATTTCCAGAGCTGTATAATCATAAATATTCTTGAATTCCGAATCACCATTGATTTTGAGCTTACCAATTGTATTCAAATCATTTGTACTATCAGGAATTTCCAAATGACTCCATAGATTATGTTTAGCATCTAAACGTGCGACAAGTTGCGCAGCCAAGAGTAAATCTTGTCGCATAACTGGTTTATGACGTGTGAGAGGAGTAAGAGGACGAACTCTCTGAGCTAAATCACGATTAACTGTAGCACCTAATTCTCCGTTTGGAAGTTCAAGTTTTTCGCGTAATAAACTACTGGTATTTAACGCCCAACATATCTTTTTGATGTTAACAGAAGGATCATATGTGGCCCATGCATGTCGCATAAATCGACGTTCAGGAACAGGTTCCCAAAGAGCCAATCTTATGAATCCAGGTTGAGAAGCGCAAAGCTAAAATAACAAACATAGTCACTAAAATATCGCTGTGTTGATTAACTGACAAAAATATTAATTAAAAAAAATACACCTTACACAGAAAGATAACAAATTAGTATCAGAAAATACTTCTATAATGGTAAATCAAAACTATTGAAATAGTGTGCGGTAAATTTGTCCTTTCCACCACGAACTACTTAGTGTTATTGAGAACATTAGATTCAACTAAGTAGGCAGTTAAACGAGTCTAAAATAATTGATGAGACTATAATTCATAGACAATTTTTGAGCGACGCCAAAGTGACCTTGAGTGTCTAACTACTTATAAGGGCTAAACGACGGTTATAAATCAGTTTGAAGAATAAGGATTATGATTCACAGTCGATGGTTAGGGTTAAGAATTAGATTTACGGTTTGTCATCAAGAACTAACATCAGTTAAAATGCCAAGGAGCTATTTGGCCAAATGGGTGGATGTCGCGCCGTTATCCTAAATCTGATTGATTCGTCCATAAATTATAGTTTCGCCGAATATTTTACTTCAGTAACTTTGTTTAGAAATATAAAAATCTAACTTCTTATTCCAGGATAGTGTGACAATTTACTATTCCTCCCACATTATGATGAACTTTTATTTTGGTTTGGTAAGAGACGCATTTTTACACGAAATGAACTAGTTGAGCTGCTTGAAGTAAAGTGACGTTTGTCGAGTCTGATACTAACCAGTAGGATTAAAGTTGATTAGTTGACAGGGCATAAGACACTTGTAAGTTAAGTCAGTCAAACGCAACGTAGAACCTGAAACATATGTACATCAGTTGAATTTGTTATAACCTATTAGTATAGCAAGATGAAATTGTCAGGTCAAATTTCAGAGTAGCACAGGTAGTGACAGTATGAATGATAACAGAAAAAGTTAGACACTGGAAAAATGATTTAATAAATTAATGTATGGTAAATACACTATGACAATTGATAAGGTAATTAGATGATATTTTTCAATTGTAAAAAATCTCATCTCACGAAAAACCCATCTCACTGACAGAATTTTTATAGAAGCGAATCAATTCTACCAGATAACTCTACGGATGGCATATGTAAAGACTCACAATATCATCCAAATAAGTTTAACATTTTTCCGAAATATGAGAAACATGATTTGTAAACTAGAACAAACCTCTTTGAGTTCGCTTTCCATTATAGTTGGAGGTAACGCTCGGAAGAATATAGATGCAGTTTTGTGTAGCAGTCTTGGTGGATTTGCACACTTGGACTGAGGAGCGTTGGGAGGATCTCCAAAAATAGGATGTTTGACAGGTGTATCATTTACCGAGCCGATGATCATAGAAACAGAAGAGTCTTCATTTTTACATCCTCTTGGGGACTCGGCAGTTGTAGGAGTGGGTACATCGTCATCATCTTCGTCAACTTCAGACCTTGCAACGTCATGAATATTACCAAGTTCATCTGTAAATTATAGAAAAGTGTCATTTTCGCGATCATAACTAAATAATATTTAACAACTTGAAAAGACTACACATCAGAGTTTTATTATGAACAGGCACAAACGATAGAGGCCTATTTGAGAACAATGACATCCAACATGCCAATAAATCCAACGTCAATTCAGCTAGATTAACTCAATCACCAAGAACAAGATTTAGTATGGTAACTTGAGCTAACAGTTATTTGTGCTATGCTATACGTTGATTATGACTGACTGCCAAATACAGGTTTATCAAACAAAAAGTAGAAAATAATCCTTATTAAACAATTAGTTTTTTTTCATAAATTTTAATAAAAACAATCAGAAGATGAAATGGAACTTGAAATGTGTATTTGTGTTGTATATTTGAACCATTTGAACTCATCAAAGTACTTTATGTGAAAATCAATATAAGACCAACTAACTAAAATTCCAAATAATTGGAGTGATTATTGTAAAAGGAAAGATAAAAATTTGGCATAATATGGAGAGAATAGTAAATTGTCGCTCCGGTAAACTTGGGAAGTAAAACAGTATGTTCATCAGTAGCACGACCCGACCGAAGCTGCTACCTTGACGCGGTGGTCGGGCTTGCCTATCGTGATGACCCAGCCGAGCTATATTGGCTGGAACATATGTTCCTGTAGGTTCTACCATGCCAGGCAGGTCGATTGGTGAACGGTAAGACTAAAAGCAGCAACTCAAGGTCTGAGGGCGAAGTCGTACTGCTGACTGTAGAGAGGTGTGATAGCAGTAAGGTGTTTCCCTCAGACAACCAGCAACTCGAACTGATGTACGTACGTACGAAGTTCTACGTTGTTACTGACTGACTGTCAGTAGCACGATATATAAAGGAAACACGGCATAGAATCGACATCAAAACAGCTTTGAAAGGTTGTACAGACATTGTCAGGGATGAATTTCCAGGTTTGCAGAAGCCTCGTCTATTCGCAAGTTTAAACCCCCTGCATGTGTACAGTTTGTTATCTATATATTTAAACACATAAACATTGGTACAAAGTGACACCAAAACCTACATGCGCCACAGAAAGTAGTTATCATTCGATTTGTGTGAACTATCTGAGTCCCTAAACAGAAACAGGTGGTTTTATTAGGGGACCACTACAGTTTGTACAATTTGTCGTAACAATGAACTTTGCTCTGATAATGTTTAAGCCACTATATGGTCTAGGCTAGTGTGAAAATTTACTATTCTTCCCACATTATGCCAAACTTTTATTTTGGTTTGGCATGAAAGACACATTTTTACACAGAACGAACCATTTGAGCTGCTTGCGGTAAAGTGTACAAGTGACGTTAGCTGAGTCTGTTGTTGACTGATACCAACCAACATTAACAAACCTCCTTATATTTACACAACTTGAAGTAAAACATCAAAGACAATATTTGCTTGTTCAAAATGAAGCGGATTGGTCGTGATGAAGGCGTTTTTAAACAAGATCAAACCGCACAGGCGAATTGCACATATGTATCTAAATGAAGCCAAGCGAATAGAAGAATCAGTCTGATTAATATGGTTTATAAGATTTATACCTCTATTACCACTAGACGGTTAACAGATATAAGTTTTCACGTTTGACTGGGTATGGATCAATTAGCAACACACAATTCGTTGAGGCTGAAACACAGACATACCTAGTAATCAACCTTTGCCCCAGACCGTGTTACTAATGTCTCTTTGACTTAGTCCAAATATTATCGTTACTATTATCAAGTTTCCCAGGACTTTTCAGAGGATAGCTTAAGAAAGCAAATAACCAGAGTTAAACTCACCACACTTCTGCTCAACTTCAGCTTTAGGTTTGGCGCTTTCATCAGCTTCGTCATCGCTTGAAGAACCACTGTCACTATCGCTACTCCGACTACTTTGTGAAGCAGCTGAGCTACCAGACTTGTTTGACTCGGTTCGTGCACGTCGGTTAGTTGTTCGACATTCCACAGTAGAACCTTGAGTGTGAAGAGATTCTGGCATCACTTTTCTAGGAAGTTCTGTGTTAGGCTTCTCATGTTCGAAATCGTCATCAGATTCAGCCTCTCCTTCACTTTTATTTTCACAACAAATAGGTCCAGAAGACTGTAGAGACAATTAAGGGAAATTTAAAACAATTATTCACAGAATCATGAAACAAAACTGCATAGACTAAAGTTCGAAAACTACAAAATAGACTCGTTTCTCTAATTATCCGATGGAGTTTAACTTCTACAAAATTCGAAAAATGAGTGTGGAAAATACATAGAAATGATGAATCCCATGTAACTAAGCCACTGAACGAACCATCGGACTTAAAATTTCTTAATTTATAGGAAGATTTGGAGAATTCTGTCACAAAAGCTCTGTGAAATGAAGCACTATGGCCAATAAGTTCTAAATATAAACAGGTCGTGTGCATGAAGAACTAATCACAAACCAAAGTTATGTCATAAAATTCACCAACATATTGCGCATGGCAGTCCAAAGTAACCTACCTGAGACTGATGTACTACGTCTTCGTCTGAATATCTATTACGATCAGATTCTTCAAGTACCTTTAGGTCTTCATCAGAACCACCTTCAAGTTTGATAACAACAGCATCCATGAGTTTTATGAGATTCTCACTATTGTCCATCTGAACAGACTGATTTTCGAGAAAGCCTTTATGTAAAAGCTCCATGAAAACATCTAGACGATGCTTGGCTGCTGCGCTAAGAGCGGCTTTTCTTTCATTCATGTAATCGGGATGATAACGAAGACGAAGCCTATACAACAATACAAGTGTATAAATTTGCGTCACTATTAAAATATTTCAGGGAATTTTAAAACTAAAACGGTAAACTTCATGTCCATTTAAGCTGGCTGCTAGATATGAACTAAATGAGGGAATATATTCAGTAGAAAAGACTGCTTTTGATAATTACAAACTATGATGACCAAATATTTAGACAATCATTGCTGAAAAAACAGATGGTCTAAACTTCTGATTCAAGAAAATATATAATGTAACCTGATTACCATATGTGAATGCCCGTACTCGGTTTTAAGCTAAAACTTAGGTACTTTGGAGATAACATAAGGTTGAAAACCACCACTGACACCATGAACGAAAACTTACCGACTCAACTTCAAAATTGTTTTAGGTGCTTTAAACATGCCAAGTACGCAATCAAGTACACAAAATTTGATATCGTATTAATTGAATTATCCAAAAGAGCTTCAAATCCTCAATCGGTTGCACTAGTCCGACCTATTATTTTGAACACCAAAGATTGCTGCTTCGACTTAATATCGTTTATGACACTAATTAGTTAGAGAACCAAGTCTACCATCAAAATGAGAAGCATCAATACACTTATAGCTAGATTCGTCCGAAACTAATACCCCCGGAGTCGACTACCTTAAGGGAATTGTCTTGACACACTCATGTACGAGACTTTAGATAGTTTTGAAAAGCAGTAACAGGTGTGTGAAATAATCCCACTGAAGCATCAGTTACAAGGGCAACCATTCCAGTGGGTTTTATCGATGACTAATGGGGATATCTATTCATTAATGACCAATAAGTTTATCGAACTTTCTTTTCATATCTAACATTGGCATTAGCGAAAACAAGTTACATTAACGACAACTAGTGATCACCATCATTTTTGTTGGGTCGAAACGCAATGAGCTTCATAACTCACTACCTCAGTATGACTTAGCTATGACAGCAATACAGACACAATGGACTGCCACTTCAATTTAAAATAAACTGAAAGTTTGTTGACGTTATTTAGTAAGTGACACGGTTTAAAAGACAGATTAAACATAAACCACTGTATACTGACTTACCATTCCTCATTTTTGTGTGCATCAAAGAACTCTTCGGTATGACGCTTCATATATCCTTCTTTGTATTCTTTGTATTTACTACACGCCTCTTCTTCAGTTATCAAGTCGTCCAAAGGATCAAGAAACCGCTTAAATGGTATTACTGGAGGCCTATACATGCCATCGTATTCCGAAACACCTGAACTTTTGGTATCCTTTCGCTGGTATGAACTTGGTTTATAATCATCATTGTTATCTTTACGAGGTCTTTTGTAAGGAGGTTCTGCAGGTGATCGTCCACGGTCATTCCGACCTTCACCAGACACACGATGATCTTCACGAGCCGGTGCAACACCTACAGTACCTGATCGGTCGTCGAATGGCTCTCGTTTATCACCAGGACGACGACGTCCATCGTGATCACTACGTTCACGGCGAAATTTATCACGGCTACGACGGCGATCGGATTCTTCATCGGAATCTGCCATGTAAAATCTGAAAGATAAAATAAACCCATAAAAACTCTTCGAAACTTAATTCCCCCGTAACTACCAACAAGTACAGTCCGATGTTCAGTAAATTAATCAAACGTATCGATAAGTTAACTCACCAAATAAGATGCAGGTGTAAACTGCATTAGCGCGATGCATGTTTATGATTATATGTGTGAATTAGTTAAAAACGACGTTGTTATGTATAAGAACTCGAAACTCGAGAGTAATAGAATCCTCTCCGACTGGAGACACTGTTAACATACCTTACGAGGGACAACCCTCTGGTTGTTTATCTGAACTTCATCAGCAGATTTAAACAAAACCCAGTCTGAAGTTGGAAGAGATAAATAAAACACTTTCCTCAGATAGTATCCCTGATTTTGTAAAGACACTAGATTATCTGACAAGGGAACTCAGCAATAGGTCGACTACCTCATTATAAACCACGACCAATATTTTGATTCAGTTTCAGTTTGGGAAGGGCAGGAGGCTTGATGGCCTGTGTTAGTCCTGGCAATGGTGGTCTCTCAATTGATCCAACTTTCTTTTGAAAGAGTCGACGGATGGAGCCTCAACCACGTACTGAGGTAATGAATTCCACTCGTTGTTGATTCGATGGGAAAGTCGATAGTCAGATGACACGTAATTTGTTCTGGGCTTGTGAACTTTTTTGGAGTGTCCTCGTAAATTCTCTGTTTTGGAAGACAAGAAAAATGAGGGCATATCAGGTACAAATTTGACACTAAGCAATTTTAAAACTGTAATCAAGTCGCCTCTAGTTCTGCGATATGCAACGGGAAAAGGTTCAGCTTGGCCAGTTGAGCTTCATACGGAAGCTTCGCTATTCCGGGAATCAGCTTAGTGGCAGTTTTCTGAACCTTTTCCAGAAGCTCACCGCTTTTTTAAGCAGGGGCTAGCCGCTTGTATGTAGTACTCAAGTTTAGGACGTACGAACACTGTATACAAAGTCAAAAACATCTTAGCGTCGATATGACTGAAAGCTCTACGTATTGACCATAAGGTTCTAAAACCTTTGGCGGCTATTGCACGGCAGTGTGCAGCGACCTTTAGGTCTTCTCTAACGATAACTCCTAAGTCATTATATGTCTGGGCGACAGGTAGCTCAGTGTTATCCATCGTGTATGTACCTGTACCTTGATGACCGATATGCATCACAACACACTTGGAAGTGGGGGGAGTATTGTAAGGCCAGCGAAATGTCACTAAGCCCTGGCCAAATCATACGGCATTTGGTTCGCTGAATATCGAGCAAATCATCAATCCTCGTCAAGGTCAGGGACAACCAACGCGCATCAGTCAATCATATGCCGTGGACTGGCCCATGCGGCAGTGGTCTTAATTTCGCTTGTATCGACTTTAAATAATATATTTATGTAATACTGTCCTCTGTGTTGTACAGTCTTCAAAGCATCTATGGTACCTTGATACGTCAATGGGGTAGTACACGTAAGGTGTTGACCACGAAGTGTGACTTCAATGATAGCTAGTTTATCACACCATTCACGTCTAACTCGAGTAGGCCTCCGATCATCTTTGACATAGATCATCTACGTTGGTGATCTACACTGGTGAGCCCGACGTGATCTGATGCGGATGCCTGACCGAGCGCCTTCAGCTAGGTGAGTCCATTAAAACATGTGGTCAGCATCCAATGTCGAAAATTTACAGAGCTATTTATTTTGGGGATTTATATATTGCCACGGAAGTATTTACCGGCAACTGCAAAGTTTGAGACCGTTCAGGTAATTTCTTCAGGTCATTTTGGCGTTCCAAGCTATCACCCCCACATCGTATCGTCCTCCAAATCTTGACATCGTCAGCATATAGCAAGGTCGATGATGATAGAAGACGAGGAAGGTCATGTACATACAAGAGGAATAGCACTGGCCCCAAAACTATACCCCAAGGCATGGTGAAAGACTAGAATCTTCGGATGTCACGAGGCTAATCCCCATTCTAGCAACCCAACTAATAACTCAAGTAGATAAACAGGGTTTTCGGACAATGTGAGAGATTTGAGGAGCCATTTAAATAGCTACGTAAATGGGGAGATATAACCTGGCAATGCTTGGAATAAGCATCCTACAAAGAAGAAGGATTGGATTACAGAGGATTTCGTCTATTGTCATGACCCCCACACTGACCAAAGGAGAGAAGATAATGGTTAAATTTATGACTGAACTTAATCCGTCCTAGGTGAGCGCTCGACTATTCATAAGAGAGACCTGAAGGTAAAGGTTGTGATGAACAGCATCGTGCAGGCAGATATCATTGAACAGCTTGGACTGGGAGAAAGGAATGAAGATTGTAAGAGATGTGAAGGTTTATGTGCTCATAGGTGGTAAGAAATTCCCTTACAAGCACGTATACAGGGCTACGTGACTTTCATCGGACCAAATTACAGGTAACCAGATTGATTAAATCTGTAAAAACAAAAAGTTCGGAAGGTCTGCGGTGGTATCGATTGTTAAACAAACTATCTTTGAAGATGAGTACATGATTACTGAGAAAATTAACACTTGGCTCTTAACACTTATGGAAAGTAAAAATTGGTGAACTCAGAGACTAGATTGATATGGTATGGCTCAACCATGCAGGTGTGGTTACCGTATTTAACAACTTGCTTTTTGTATCAAATGTATTACTCGCTTCCCAGCCCGACTGTGTTCTTCTGGAGTTCTAGGTGTCAGATTGATAGCTGTTACGGTAAAACGAGTCGGTATAGACTATGGTGTGACTCTCACGTAAGATTTTATAAGTTAGGTAGTTACATCGTGAGAAATCTAAAATATTGGGATTAAGTCCATTTCTATAGCAGAAAAGATCAATGTACATAATAATGACGTGGACATAAGGCTCTCTAAGTTCTGTTCATTCTGAAAACACATGCTAAGTTCTGTGCCTAGGTATTTGTCATACCACAGTGCCCTTTTTATACACAAGTTGCACATGTTCAAATTAAAGAAGCCTTTAAATTAACTAGATGGCAGACTTACTGTTATTTAGATTGGTGAAATTCGCATTTATTTGCATATATTCATACTGGTTGAAGTGAGTATATATGATAAGATCTATATACTTCTCCCTTCAAACTTGTTTCCCCGACCAGCTTAGACACTGATTTATTAAAGAATCCAGTAGTTCATACATTGTAAAATTCATCTTGGTAAATCCCCCTGTCAAAATATAAGTAAATCCTATAATGTATGTTTTGCATTGCGGCTACTTACTTGTTTTCACGTATCGTTTCTTCTATTGATATTCATATTTTAGTATATTCGTTCCTTATTTTGTTCGCATGTAATCACTATTGCGACATTTATTTCAAGTTCTGGATTACAACTGACTTCCTAATGTCGTTGAGTCATTTAATGACTGTTCATTTCTCTTTTACATAATCCATTCCTTCCGCGGTTTCCATACTAGTTTAACGTACTTTAGATGTGACTCTGTAAACTGATTACTAATGTTCTCCGTCACTGATACAAGGGCACATCCCCCGTACATTTTGGAAAAGTTTGCTGTTGAAAATTGGGTGTGATTCCAATTCAACATTAAAGGTACGAAATTTAGCGAAGAGATCCCTTTTCGACGAACTTATTATCAAGCTGTATAGACTTATATATGAAAGTCTTTGAATAAAGTACTAGTTACGTGAGGACAAATGAACAAGGAACAACCATGATGATAAAAACTAAAGATTATAATACTAGAAAACGTAGTATGAATAATAACAATAGATTTAATTAGTAACGAACTATAACTTGATTAAGATGTCTTCGCTACAACAGTTAAAAGTATTTAAAGGTAACAGGGCCGCGAAATAAATGAAGTGACATCATGAGCAATTATGGATAAAATAATAAGAATACGAGACAGAGATAGAGGGGAAAGGCCAAGGGAACGACAACGATAGGACGTAATTATTTTGTACCCATAATTCTGGCTTCAGTTCATGGATGGTGAGAGCTTCCGCTATTTTTAAAAGTTGGATATCATTTAATAGCGTCAATACAGTTAAGTGCATGACTACTGAGTGTTTTTTCCATTGAATGAGCTTGGTTTTGCCATAGTGCCTTCCAGAAACGCTTAAAATAACCATGACTTTCTATACAGCTTTCAAAATATCACATATACGATTCGTCCAAATCTACCTGTAAGATAGATCTGAAATGTTTTAGGTTTTCCGTACAATCAGTTTACGCTCCTGAAATCGGATATAACATCAAGATATTACCAGTCACAAAAATATTAGGAATAGCACGACCAATCATGTGTTGTAATATAACAAAGTCCTTGACATACGGATATTACTATTCTGTCCTGTAGGATACTTCACTTTAATACACTCATAGCTGGCTAGTTAAAACTGTAAGGTTACGGGTAGACAAAAGGTTAATAATAGTAAATGATAGTTACTCATCAAGAGTAATATGTGTCTTTCGCTAACCTTAGAAGTACCTTAAAGTAAAAAATAACAATTCAAATCAACTAGATCAAGCAATCGCAACTAAAGAGCGGTGACTTCATATGACAGCAACATCACTCGAAAGTCCAGAAAGACAAAATTTCTAACAACCCGAATTCATCAAGGAGAATGGGAGAAACTGTTGAATTATGGTCAAGATAGTTATTAACACTGCCATAATAATAGACCTAATCCTAAATTTGTAGATTTGTCATGATGTGGAAACCTAATCCATAAGATCTTGCGTGGAGATCACATTATTGTCTATTCTGACTCGACGCATCATAATAATCAGGAATATGATGTTTGACATTTCTAAAGAACATATCTAGACTGAATTTAGAATAATATTATAATAAATTTTTGTCTTCTGTACTGAGTGATTTGCTAGCGGAATTTTTGTCGTTCTTGTGAACGACATCACCAACACAAACTTCAGGTAGTGTAAGATCCATTCTGAAGGTTTCGTGTGTAAAAATCCCTCCATGTATACTGTTGTAACTTGCTCCTATTTATTTCTTCAGTTGTACATGGCGTCAGTCTTTTTGGTTTTATTTGAGATGGTTATATTTGTATTTTATCATTATTAATTTCTTTTTCTCGCCTTCTCTTTGGTTGCATGTTTCTTCCTGCAGTGCATTTATGCTGTTTTACTTGATATTTAGTCTTAGTGGCAACCATATTGGTTTGTTCTCCTTTTGATTGTGTTGCTTGCATTAACTGTAATCGTGCATATTTGATTGTGAATTGAAGAACTCTTCTAGAATTATAAACACTTCTATAAAGCAACCAAATATTATCTTTCGAACAAACCTGTTAGTGATCTATCCAGAAAGGATAGAATAAC